AGGAAACCAGATCTCAGGGTAACTAGGTGGCTTGAGAATTGCAAAAGGTTTGGATAAGCCACTGCTCAAAATAAAAAGAGGATCTGGTTAAAGTGTTGCTGCGCAACAACACACTGTGATGCCCATCAGCATAATTTTCTGTTTTCTGTAGTTCTACTTAATATAAACTAGAAAAACAAAAATTTTTTTGATGTAGGTTGGGCTGAATTAGCTCACAGGGAAATCTCAAGAGTGAGAGTATTGAAATACTGGTGTGAACAAGCTTATGATTTTTTGATTATTGGTGCCTAGGCAAGATAATGAAAAGGAATGAAAATAGGCTGGAGTGCGGGGATGATGGGCTGAGAGTAAGCAGATGAGCGGCTTGTGAGTTGTCAGAACTATGGGGAGCAGACTCAGTAGCAGGGGCGGTGCCAATGCTTGAGAGGTAAGAGGAAGCAAATTGAGGCCAAGGAGTAAGAATTTGGAGACAGAGCAATTTCAGGTGGAGTTTGGAAGTAGACAAACTCCAGCTGGTAAGGCCAGGGTATGTCTATGTGGATGATTTGTTAAAATTAATGAAGTAGTTGGTTAAAGAAGTTTGTGGGTTGAGTGTTAGGTAATTCAAATGAAGACAAAGACTAGTCCTCAAGGGTTGCAGGGAAGGTCTAAGGATGATGATGGCAAGGGCAAAATTTGGTATAAATGAATATCATACACCTCAAAGAAGTATAATGAGAAAGGTCTGGAAGCACCAGTATGAAACTGAGAGGAGTTTGGTCCCGAAGTCCTCAGAGGCAGTGAAAGAGTGAATGAATACCTTCAGTCTAAGAACTTAGGCACAGATCAGATGTTATCCAGGCAAAGAGGAGCATCACAGTGTAAAACAGTGGTTCTCAAACTTTGGCCATACCCAAAGGGCTGCTTAAAAGCACAGATGCATTGCTATAGGGTGGATATTCGACTGCACAACAAGATGTGTGAGTCATCGGTACAAAGAAGAGAGATAACCCTGAGTTTAACTTGCTGCTTCCCTTCACTAACTGTGTGAACTTGATGAACTGTGTGAACAAATCACCTAATGCTGGCCCTCAATTTCCTCATCAAAAATGCATCTATGAGCCTAGGCTGGCATAGCTCAGTGGATTGAGCACGGGCTGCGAACCAAAGTGTCGCAGGTTCGATTCCCAGTCAGGGTACATGCCTGGGTTGCAGGCCATGACCCCCAGCAACCGCACATTGATGTTTCTCTCTTTCTCTCTTTCTCCCTCCCTTTCCTCTCTAAAAATAAATAAATAACATCTTCAAAGGGTTATTTATTTATTTGCATCTATGTAATAGATGCAAATCTATTGCATCTATGTAATAAATGCATTTATGTAATAAATACATACTCTCTAGGATCATAGTGAAGTAAACATTAACTTGGAACATGCTGGACCATGCGACACCATGAAATGAAAAGGATAAGGCCATTCTGTCGCATGAATGGCAGAAAAAAGCTGCCCTCTTTGAGTAAGTGGAATAGTCCAACATACAACTATTAAACTTCCCCATTCTTGGGCAGGGTGGAAGCTAAAGGGTAAAAGGTGAAAGTATGTTGCTATTGGAAACTGCGCACATGCTCTCTCTCCACATAAAAGCTGACTTTCCTGCACAGGCTTTGCAGTTTGTGCAGAGATCTTTACTCAGCTACAGAGTGGCCCTGCTAGACTAACTGTGGAAGTCCATGAATAATTCTCTCATGTCAACACAGCAGAGAGGCATGTCAATAAAGCAACTGAGAGCATAGTGAGAACTTCTCATTTACCTTACTGGGACCAGAACAGCATGACTCCACAGAGAAACAGAAACGGGAACACCAGCAGATTTTATGCTGAAATTGAGCTAACTTGTATTTGGGCCCTTATCAAATTAAGAAATGCAACAAGAGTACATGAACCTTCAATAAATATTTTTCTTTGAAACATATCTATGCTAAAGAAAGTTTTAAGAATTATTTGTAGAAGGAGCATAGCAATGTTTAAGAGTTTAGAAATGTATGTTACTCAGTTCTCATTGTAACATTGTCTTTAACTTCCTATTTTTAAAAAAGTGCCTACTCTGTTGAAGTATGACCAGAATCAACCCCAGGGTTTGAAAATTTGGTTTGGGTGCCATCTCTCTCATTATATTGTCCAACAAATCAAAGGCAAAATTTAGAAGTTCCACCGTGGCTTCTTTGGAAAACCTATCGAGGTCAGCTAAAGTTAAGAAGTGATAAAGGAAAACCTAGAATGCAAAGGAAGAAAAGAAGGACTTAAATATGGATATGGACAAAACACTCCCTTCAACCAAAGTTTAGTCAGATTTCTCTAAGCCCTGCTGTGGACAAGGCCTCGGCCTCGCTGCCTCTCCATCCACACCAGATCTTCATGGACCTCTGTCAGCGAAATCCTGCCAAGTCAGTTTAGAGAGATTCTCTCCCAGCCTTGATATCCAATCACTCTCAATATCTGACCGAACTCCTAAACCCCCACCCTTGAGATCTGATCACTCAGGCCTGCTCTGAGTAATTTTCCATCCACCCATTTTTCCCTCAATCTGACTCTACTCCTTGGTTATAAATCCCTAGCTATCTCTATTGTATTCGGAATTGAACACAATTTATACTGAGGTCTCTTTTCCCCTACTGCAATCATTTCTGAATAAAATCCATCTTTACTGCCTTAACCAGTGTCTGGCTCTGGTTCTCGGATAATATGCACAACCTGATACGTGTATACACGTGGTTCTGATGTGTAAAATAACACATGGACTCAGTGCCCACATGATGACGATAGAAGTGTTAGCACTTTCTAAGAGAGTAATTGGACACTCTATATTTCAAATGTCCAAAACACTTACACCTTATTACCCAGTAATACTCTTTCTAGGAACCAATTCTACTAAATTTGGACTATGCTTTACGTATAAAGATATCTACAGCAGCATTATTTATAATGAAGAAAAAATGGAAAAAAATCTGAATATGCCACAATAATTTGTTGTGTAAACTATGACGCATTCATCTGAGGAAGCATTTTGCAACCCTCAAAATGCTTACAAAGTGTCACAGGAAACATACTTATGGAATGCTGGTAAGTAGAGAGAAAAGGCAGCATAGTAAATAGCACAAAATTATGTCCTCATTTAATAAATGCATCCCTGCATGTGCCACATAATCTGCATCAAAACCCGTTGTAAAGCTACAGCAATACTTTTTATGGTGTCCTGATATATTTTTTCCGAACACTTAGCTTACCTAAATGTACTGCTATAATATATAAAAATGTTTGATGTTAAACGTACTTGTGGAATATGCATACTTATAACTAGGATATTTAAAGGGAAGTAATAATAATAATAGCTAATAGGTATGGTACTTACTGTGTGTCAGGGCACTTCCTAAGATTTCTCTTACAAATAATTTATTGGTTGCTCATCCATCCAATGAGGAAGTACCACATTATTGCTATCCCAATTTTACAGATAAGGAAGAAAAGGCCCAGAACAGTGGAAAGTCCCAACTCTACAGCCAGCTCCTTGGTCTTGATTCAACCCCAGACCACTTAAAGAACTTGTGCACGTAACAACCAGAAAGAGGATTTGCAATCAGTCAGACCCTATGTTAACACCTTCCTAGTGCCACACTCTTGGTCTGATTATGTAACCTCCTTTTGTCTCAGTACTGTCATCTGTAGAGAAAATAAGTACGTCTCGGGAGCATAGTGAGATAATGAATACGACCAAAACTCAGGCTGGTGCTTGTCATCCCTGACCCAGACTAGCATGGCCTCCACCGCCAGGTTCTTTTCATAAAATGGGCTGCCTGATGTGGTGGGAGCTGGTTACTCAAGGGATACTTTGCTCTTCCCCACAGCCCCAATATTTGAGGGTATGCTACTATGAAAGCAAGTCTTGGACAAGTGCTGCTAATGGTCTAAACATTCACTCGCAAACAGTTATGAAAACTGCCCTGCTCTGTGCTCCGACACTCTAACCACGCCACTATAAGAGAGGCTCCCGCGACACACATTCTGAAATCAGGGCTGGCTCAAGGCTGGAGACAGGGGCCTGCCTCTGTGACAGGGCTCTTGAGAGCTGTGCTTGGCTGCTTCTCTACACCTGATTTTTGCACTGGCAGGAGGGCATGTTCAATTTTCCTTCAAACCATCCGTCTAGAATACAACTCATTTTGCAAGAGGAAATCATTCCCAGATTGTTTCCTAACCTAATTAACTAACTCTGATCCCAGTCTCCACAACCACCCCTGAAGTCCTAAAGCCCCCTTTGGAAAGCAGATTTCTGATTGGAGTGCTTCAGAGACCATTGTTCGTAGGGTATGAACTAGAGTTAACTCGTATACACTGGCATACCTAACACTGGCTTATCTCGAGTTATTATTGTGTGAAGTATCATCACACAGACAATATTAACAGTGATGTGTTTGTTACTCGGTTGATAAATATGATAGTCTTTCTCCCTTTTTGGAATCTTTCTCTTTGTCCATTCCCTCCCATCCACCCATCCGCATCCTCAAGGAGAGGTGACTAGAGCCTTTTGGAGCCTAAATATTCATAGATTCTAATCAGAGAGGAATATATAGGGGTATAAGGAATTATACATCATTTCTCCCCAGAGAAATAAGAAAGCTCACCATGTATTTAAAAGGACATATCCAGGTCAAGTTATGATGTTAACTAGATATTTCAACCACTGTGTGCTGATGAGTCCAAAAATCAAAGTTTTAAAAAGCATTTTTGCAAGGCATTTCTAGACATAAGAGATATGTTTTTATTTAACCAGCAGAACCTCTGTAAAAACTGAAACTGTTATTTCTGGAGATTTCCCCAAAACTCAGCCGCAAAAAAATCTGTGTTGTAATAGGTGCTGTGTCACTGAGAACCACTGAAAACAGATTAAAAGCAGCAAACCATATATGGGAAAACCCATTTCTGTAATCTTGTCATTCACGTTCCACTTTCTTAAAGCTGCAGTCAGCTGTGCTTTGTAAAACAGAGACAAGGAAGCATACTCTGAGAACCTGCAGCAGCTCCGGATTCCAGCCGCCTGCACTCCATGCCAGAACGACCAACTGGCCATGCAGGTTACACTGGCTCTGACCGTCTGGGTGGTTTCTGTGGTCTCCAGTTATTCCTATTCAACAAAGAGTCTGCCAGATATCGACAATGAAGCATTTATCAAAGACTGTGTTCACATTCATAACAAGTTTCGATCAGAGGTGAAGCCAAGAGCCAGTGATATGCTATACATGGTAAGCAAACTATCCACGTCTGTGGCATAAGTCAGTCAGAAACAACGAATGCATACTGATTTGGGAGGCAAAGCCTTAGTAACCCCGAATGATTTTCTTCATTGTGATTTATGTGCTCAGTAAATTTACCGTCAATGATAGAAACGGACCTGTGTAGCTCTGTCAACAGCTCAGGAAGTACATTTCATTTCTCACTTTGCACACTTCCTTTCCTCTGGCCATAGACAGGCTTGCCCTTCTCTTTTTGTCATTTTCTTCCCTTTAATTTTTGTGAGGGTTTTTTGTTTGTATTGTATCTAAGTCTACTTTTTGTTTGCTAGCAGAGTACTGATTTTCTCAGGAAGACAGCAGAGAGTCTGCCGGAAAGAGAAGGTTTTGATTCACTTAGGTTTGGGTTTGAATCCCAGTTCTGTGTCTGTGAGCTGGTTTTTAACATTTCTGAGCTTCTTGAGATATAAGGTATTGTGACTGTTAAATCTGATAAAATGTGTGAAATGGCACACAGTATTTTGCACACACAGGTAGCCTTCACTTTTCAAAAGTTCTCTTTATGCCACTTTGCTCTTATAAAAGACCTACATTCATACCTGTTTTCGTCAAATGAAAGAAACTTGAAGAGGATTTTCGCTTTCATGGAGAAAATAGTGAAATACAAAAGTAATGCTCAGTGTTTGCTTCACAGCCGGTTTTAGAGGCAGCCACACCCTGAGCAGCGAGGGCGGCCCCTCCGAGCTCCTTCCTGGAACCACACTCAGCCTCTCAGCGTCCAGCTGCCTTAGCTTTGATCTGTGTCTGTGAACATCTGTTTTTCAGTTCAATTTATTTTCTGCATCAATTAACAAGACATGTCCTGAGTTCACTGTTTTTCTCTGTCCACCCTTTTGGCTTACCAAAGGTTTCATAGTCTGCTCTACTTTCAGATAGGAAAACCTATAATAGATCTTCAATGACATGTTGGTCTGTGTGAATCACCTAGATTTTAAAATTCATGAAACTAGACGATCATGTTTCCTCCTAGCCCTGGTTATTACTTATGTAGAGGACCCGTGTACAGTGGTTCCTTCTCTGTTCTTGTCATCACACCGCATTCCCCAAGTTCCCACTTGGCTCACTCCAGTTACATTGTTGGATAACAGACAGGTTCCACTCTTGACCTTCTTGCTGTTTAACATTTATTTTTGCAGACTTGGGACCCAGAACTAGCCCGGATTGCAAAAGCATGGGCAAAAAATTGTAAGTTTGACCATAATGAACGGCTGAAGCAACCCCACAAGCTGCACTCAAATTTCACTTCACTGGGAGAAAACATCTGGACTGGGTCTCTCCAAATATTTTCTGTTTCTTCAGCGGTCACAAGCTGGTACAATGAAATTGAATACTATGACTTCAAGACTCGGAATTGCAGGAAGGTCTGTGGCCATTACACTCAGGTAAGGATCTTCCCTACATTCTCTTGAAACCATCTTTTTGTGGGTGAGGAGGAAACCAGAGCCTAGTGTTAAGAAAATATTCAGGAAGCTAGTACATCTGTAAAAATGCAAGAGTCAGGATTACAGGCTTACTCTTAAAAATAAATAAGTGGAACACACTCTAATACCAAATAAGACAGTAGTTGAAGAGTTTAGTTAAGTGGACAGAGATAAAATGTGAGGCCCACTAAGGTTTTGAATAGTTTTGATACCAGCTCTCTTCCTGTGGGTCTTTATTCCATTTGTGAGCAATCAAAGGACATTATGAGTGAATTTTCAAGTATGAGTGCTCTATAAAACCTGAGGCAGTTGTTTTGAAACTATAAAATTGAGAGAAATAAGCCTCTCAGATAGAAATATCAATAAGAATTGATGCTTTTGTATCCTCTTATTCTTTCAAAAATGGATTGAGAACCTATCCAGTACCCAAAAAAGAGAAAAGAAACCCACAGTCACACCCCCTAGGGAGAGAGAGGCCAACATCTGAACCTGAATAGACCATGTTGTGGCTTTTCTTCACCCCAAATTGATGATACTAGTCCCAAAGCCGATCCAGAGCCTCTCACTGAGACATTTTTTACTCAAGCTTGTTTTAGCTTTTGAACCCTAACCCGGGTTGACAACTTTATGGAAAGAAATCCCTAGGAAGCATTTTCTGAAGTCTTGATAGGCTACCTTCCTATCCTGAATGCATTTTGTGGTTTTTGGTTTTTTTACTTTTATTTCCTGGCATTCCTTGTTAAGCCAATAACTAAAGTACTCAATCTATGTTTCACTGACTTAAATACACAAGAATGTGTCTAAATGAGTTATGATGGCAAAAACATTGTTAACAAGGCCATTAACTTGGAACATTAGGTGTTTTTAAAGAGCAACTGTTATTAGAAAAACTCTCAATACAGTTCAGCCTTATAAAGCCTTAGACCTCTCTGCTAATATTACAGGTAAGATGAGTTTGGCAAAGTTACAAGAGATTATTTTGATGAGAAGGACAGGACTCATTTCACTGAAATGTTCATCTCAAGATGATTGTAAGCAAGGAGGGGTTATGAAGCCCTCGGTAGCATTAGTCCGGTAGTATCTCGGAAATATAAGTAAGGTTCTCCCAAGCTTATTGCATAAATCATCAATTCTAGTCTATGTTTACCAATAAAATTAACCAGAAAATAAATTTTGTTGAGTTCCCACAAGTCCAAGAGGACAAGAAAGCTAAATCCAGATTGCCTACAGTAGTACCTGGTAATATTATATATTCTGGTGTTTAAATCCCAAGAAATGGTCAGTTTGAGGATGCCAACTCTGATTCGGGCAGTGTTTAAGCTTCTACCCTGCACCAGGCACTAAGGCACTAGTCATATGTATTAGTGCAGATTCCTAAAACACAGCAGCAGAGATATCTTCTGTGTTGACACTGTATTGGAGAGTACAATCGCAGAGAAGTAGGAGTGAGGAGAGTGGAGGGGTGAGCCAGGGACTGAAGGACAGAGCTGGGGGTGGCTCTGACCGTTAGCAGTTGACCTTCTTTTGGGAAAGACATACGGGTAAATGGACACATTATAATGCAGTTTGGAGAAACTGACAAAGTATCATATAAGCAAAGGGAATGGCACAACTTATCCAGCCAAAGGGAGATATGGAGCCATAGGAGTTGTTCACACAGCAGGAAATAAAGGAGTCGGTTCTTGAAACTAAGTGAGAGTTTGCCAAATGAAAAGGAAAGGGAAGGCAATGCCAGGCAAAATTTACAAGGTGCAGAAGATGTACAGTGTGTAAAATTAGCATGGTACTTCAGAAAGATGGCTAGTAACTTAGCGCACCAACTTGGTAGAGCTCAAAAGACTGTCAAATTGACAAAAGACTTAAACCATGCAAGTTAAGACACTCCATATCTATAATTCCAGGAAGCCACACTTGATTCTATGTCATATAGGCCTGAGATTTTAGAGATGGCCCTCCCAAAATGAACTGAGCTTACTTGTAAAATTTCCCCTTACATCCAGTGGGAAAAAGGAGAGATAATGTTTACGACATGAGAAAACTCATTTCCTAAAATCTACTTCCTCCCATCAGGTATGAGAGCCCAAGCTGAGTGATCCTTACCCGTCCTCTTTAAGAGACAATCTACCACCACTTCAACGGAGGCACCCTCACTATGGAGAACATGCCCAGTACCCCCTGGGTCTGGGAAGATGCACCACCAGCAATTACTTTTTAAATAAGCATGGTGCTTAACTCTTCATGTTTAAGACCACATTTAATTCTCATCACAGACCAGTGAGAGGGGCACTGTTCTCCATCTATAAATAAACAGCCTCAGAATGGTTAAGAAATTGTTTTCCCAATGCCCTTTAGTCAGTAAGAAGAGCTGGATTCAGATACCAGGGGTGGTAAAGATTAAATAATACAATGTATGTAAATTATCTAGTAAGGTGCAAGTATTTAGTTTGCACTGAACAAAGATTACATTTCTTCCGTGAGCTGGAAGAAGGGTCTGTTTGCATAAAACTGAGAGATTCAAGAGTTGCCATTTTAAATTCATGCTGCAAACTACCTCAAATGGGTATTAGAATCCCCCACTTGTTGCCATCTTCTATTAACAAAAAGCAAGTGATTTTCAGATTTTTGCCTGTGAGGGGTTGTTGTATAAAGACAGTAGATTCAGATCCATCATTACCTCACAAAGGTGTGGTACTTCTTAAAACGTTAACACTTTCGTTCTGTCTTCACTAAAGATTTGTATTGTGGAAGAATTTTGGCATATTAATATGGAAGAGTATTTAAATTATATATTTTGTTGCCATTAGTTCAGCTTTGTAAAGTTTGGGAATAATTTTACTTCAATATCTGTGTCTGGCTGCATTTTAGGTTTAGTAGTGTTGAAGATGCCCACTAGAAAGCGCTATTGGTCTCATGTTTGTTTTTATATCTACCCCACCCCACCCCGTCCAAATCCTCTTGGGAAAAAAATTTTTTTACACTCTCACAGAACCAAAGGAAGTGTGACATGTTTTATAGTTTTCCTAGCTGACTTCTTATAGGCTTCAAGCTAACCGTACTTTTGATAATGAGCCAGATGGACTCATATTGAGATTGAAAGGGGAAGAAGGTGGGAAGGGGTTCTTAGCTAGAAGGGAAGGAGATGTGCCAGCCCCCACTGAGTTCCTCAAATGCAGTGTTTTTTATTAGTAAGGTATAGAGTCGTTCCTGGTTCTGCTGGAACGGAAAGCACACTGAAGGCATCCTGTGGGGGACATGAACTGTCCTCACATTATTTCCTCACCAAGTAGAATTAGGTTCCAATGCTCACCTATAAAATTCAGAGCAGTACCTATTTCTTGACTTGTTATGAAGTTAAACATGATGTCGCATGTAAAGTGCTTAACATTGCCCTGGCACTGGCTAAATTCTCAATGAGCAGTTCTTATTTTTTACAATTACGTTTTTGTTTACCATATTAAATGAAATAAAGAAATATATAACAGTAATCTGCCTGATAAAAAAAGTTTCAAAAATTTTAAAACAGAAAAAAATAATAAGAGAATTAAACATAGGCATTTGATGAGTGCTTACGATGTTCCAAGCATTTTCTTATTAGCCCATTTAAAATGTCAAAATAAGCCTATGGAGTTGATGTTACCCTCATTGAACAGACCAGGAGGCTAAGACCAAGGTCACACAGTGAGTGGTTGAGCCAGAATGTGAACTCAGACTTTGTTGCTCACAAATTTAACCCAGAATCTGAATGCCCATTAAGCTTTACAGAGACCAGCTTGAATGGACATATTAACTGTGGTACATCCATGAAATAACTACTACTCAGCAATGACAAGGAGAGATGACTGATGGATTCAACAACGTGAATGAATCTCCAGAGGCTTATGCTAAATGAAAGAAACTAGATTCAAAGGCTACAATTAAACTAATCATATTCATATAACATTCTGGAAAAGGCAACATTACAAAGACAAAAAACAAGTTAGCAATTGCCAGGGGCTGGGGGTGGGGTAGTGCTGACTACAAAGAGGCATAAGGGAACTTTTGGGGGTGATGGAAATGTCCTAGTTCTTGAATATGAATAAGGCTACACAACTATATGCTTTTGACAAAATTCATTGAACTGTAAACCTAACCAGATGGATTTTACTGTATGTCAGTTACAAGCTGACTTCTAAAACAAGAGATCAACTAAAACATAAAATGAATATTAACATTTGCACACTCTTGGAAAAAAGAGAGCAGAAATATAAAATAAAGAAGAATAGCATAAAGAATTAAAGGTGGGGGAGGGCAAAGATTAAGAATACTTGAGATACAACATTGAAGAAAGTTCTCGAAGACCAAAGGACAAAAAAATACAAAATGAGCTAAATTGATAGGAAAAGTATTATAGACAACAGTGAACCCAGTTAGCATAAATAAAAATCACCGGAGCTGAAATACAGAGTTCAAGGGCAAGTCTAGTGATTCTCATTCATTCATTCATTCATTCAATCACTTAGTTGGTCTGAGATGTGTCTAGAAATCTGCATTTTTTAAAAAGATTTTATTTATTTATTTTAGAGAGGGAAGGGAGGGAGAGAGAGATAGAGACAGAGACAGAGTCAAAGAGAGACAGAGAAACATCAATGTGCATGTGCGGTTGCTGGGGGTCGTGGCCTGCAACCCAGGCATGTGCCCTGACTGGGAATTGAACCTGCAACAAGAAATCTGCATTTTAAATACAACCCAGGTGAAATCACTTTGAGATGCAGTGAGTAAAATTTTTTCTTTAATTAAATAAATACAAAAATGATTGGAAAGTGAAAGTAAAAGCACAAAGACCAAACCTGAGAATTCATGGCCATAAAGCTAGGTTCTCTCAAAGAAACAGAAGCTAAACTACTCGGTCACCTGGAGTTCCCTGTAGGGGGTCCCTGGGCATGAGACTTGAAGGGAAAACAACTCATTCGGACAGGGGAACAGGGCAGGCTGTCTTTACCAAAGAAGGACACTGCTCCTCCGTGGGAGACCATAGCTGCCTCCCCAGCCCCTTCCCCTTTGTCAAACCGAGGCTCCTGACTAATTCCATCCTCCTCCTTGTCTTCCCTCACTTTGTACTCTCTCCCCAGGGGCTGTTTTTTATGATTGACTATTTTCAAGTAAACTTGATCTCTTTCTGCAGCCACAAGGCCCCCATCTCAGTTCTGAGTCTCACTTGGGTTCACAGGGATGTTGCCCTGGGCTGGAACACTTCTGGCTCCCAGACCAGCTCCCTCCAGCTTCAGCTCTACTTCCCTAACTGGGGAAGGCCCGGTGCTATGCACTCCCTATCAGCCTCTGCTTCTCCTACAGTGTCAAAGCCCTAGGTAATGGTTTCCTGATGCCTTCTCTCTCAGTTCCAACCCATTCATTCGCCTTTGCATCCCCCATGCTCAGCACTGTTGTTGTCATAAAGTTGTGAAAAAAATTCATGAGTAAAACTAATTTAAAATGCAATTTGGTATCACTGTAAAAAGGAGTGCTTTTAATGGCTGGCTTAGCTCCAGAGACTAGCTCTTTAAATACTTTTTCTTTTAAGATGAGTTACACACTCATGTCAAGATGAGCTATATAATTTGTGCAAAATGAAAATGTGGAGTCCCTGTCAAAAATAAGGAAGAAAAAGTCACCAAAGTGCTGCTAAAATGTGACAGCATTGAAATAAAGCAAGCAATCAGTCCTTCTGATCACAGAGTCCCTCTCCCTGGAGCTGCTCTGTCCTTGGTGTCCCTCCTATGTCACTGACCACTCCTTTCAATCTCTTCTGCTAGCTGTTGTTCTTTATCCTGTGATCGCACTTTTTGTTTTCTATTATCTTGGCCTGTGTAATCTAATCTAGGCATGTCATCCAGACTCATATCTTTGAGCTGCAGGTGGTCCTGTGCAGCAGCCAAGTCGCTGTGCACACGGACATCTAATAGGCATCTCAAAAGTAACTTGAACAGGACCCCTCCATGTTCCCACCCATCTTCCTCCTCCTGTGATTTCCCCACCTCAGTAAAGGTTGTTTGGGCCTGAAACATGAACTGAGTTTTTCCCCTTCCTCTTAACCTCACACTCAAAGCAAAAGAAAAGAAAATCCTTTCAGCTTTGTGTCTAAGCTGAACCACGAACCTGATCCCTTCTCAGGAACTCCACTATCATCCAAGTCTGATCCTTTCTTTCTTGTACCACAGAGTGAGCCTCCCAAATTCCCTCCCCCACTCCTTTCCCTCTCCTGCTCTTCTCAGTCCATTTACTTCATGACAACCAAAGGGATCTTTTCCAAGACAGGAAAAAAGAGCCTATGACTCACACACATACAAAATTCCATGTGACTTGCTGCTCTGCCTCTGACCTCATTGACCCGGATCTCCCTGACTGTAGCATCCAGCAAACTCGAGAACAAATATCGGAGACTTTCAGGGTATCAAAGATGTTACTTTATTGGCCAAGTTTAACCTGCGCAGGGGCGAACTCTCAAAGTGTCCAGCGACACAGTGCCCGCAAGGAGCTGCAAACGAGAGACGCACCGAACGCTTACAACTACGTTCTTATATATGGGCAGGCAAGCAAGCGTTATACAGAAGCAGACGTGGCAGTTAGTAATTGGCTTACAAAGACCGCGCGCGGGAATTTCAAACCAAGCATTCTTTCATAAGGTGGGAAGGCAGGCTGTTTGTTCATTAACCTAGTAATCTCCTGGCTCTAGCTAGCTAGTTTTCTATTTTCTCATTAAAAACTACAAAGCACTGCTTATCTAGCCTACCCAGGGGAGAGCGTCTGCTAGACACAGGATGTTTGCTTTGACTGTACTTTGTCTCTTTTATCATTTCTTTTTAGCTACAATGTGGTTCTTGTCTATTAAGGTTAAACTTAGTTCTTAATTTCCTTGTTCCCAACACTGACCAGTTGGAGCCCAGCTGTTCTCCTCACTGCCACCCACGTCTCAGGGCCTTCGCCCTGTGTTCTCCTTCCGCATGGAGTGCTCTTCCTCCATCACATAGCTCTTCTGCAGTGCAGTGCTGCCTCCTCATCCTCACTCAGGTCTGGCTTAAATGCCACCTCCCCAGAGACTGTTTGCCTGAACACTGAAGTTCAAGCAGCCTCCTCCTCCGCATCACGGGCCCCCTATCTTGTTACCCTGTTTCTTCATGGCACTGTCAAAAATTATCTTAGTTATTCTTTATATGTTTATTTCACACAAGGACACAACGCAACTAATAATAATAATTTACAAGTCTTGTTTCCACCTGAATTGTAAGCATCTAAAACTTCCCTGGGGGTATGTGTACTACCTGACTAGAGTGAATGTGCCTCACCATGTTTATGAAGGTCTAATCATAATCAAATGTTCATTTTATCTCTGTCTTGTTAAATATCCTTTTTTCTTTCAGGTTGTTTGGGCAGATAGTTACAAAGTTGGCTGCGCAGTACAATATTGTCCTAGAGTTTCTGGCTTTGAAAGTCTTTCCAACGGAGCACATTTTATATGCAACTACGGACCAGCGTAAGTGTCCAAAACCAACCTCTTTCTAAAAAAAAAAATTAAGTTCTATTTTATAAGTATTTATCTTCATTGCAGAAAATCTAAATAAAGAGAAAAAAGAAAATTAATATTAGTCTTAACTCCCCTGCCTGCAAATGTACTTTGTTAACATTCTGGTACACTTTTCTGTGTGTTTGTATGTGTATGCACACCCTTTATAAATACTACATAAATACATGCACACACTTTTAACAGTGGCAAAACTAAATGTTTTCAGGGACACAGATCAATTGGATATGGTAATAAAACCACAAAATGGAAGGATTGGTGTTACTTTATATTTATTGGTTTATTAAAAACTTTGCAATTTTTGTACAACTGTCAAAATAACTGAATTGAATTTTTCAATTTGTGTAACTTATTTATTTTTTACAGGTTTGCTTTTAAATAGGTACAATTTGTCTCCCTTTGGAAAATGGGGAAATTACGTGACCTCTCCCCCACCTTCCTATAAACTTCTTTGTGTGCTTATACATCATACACATATTTAGAAAACTGAGATCATACGGGAAATACATGTTCTCTATTTTTTACTTAAAATTATACCATGAGCATTTTCCAGGTCATTACACCAATTATAAAAAAATGAGAGATAATTCTTGTACAATGCTTATCATGTGCTAAGCACTGCTCTGATGGCCTCACATATATTAACTTATTTAATTTTCATAGGAGCCCGTGAGATAGCTCCTGTTATTGCCCTGTTAAGCAGAGGAGGAAACTGCTGGGTTGAGTAACCTGCCCACACTCCCTCAGCAGGTCAGTGTGGTAACTGGACTCTGCAGTCCGGTTCCGGCGTCTGTGTTCTTCACAGTCACAGGGCAGCTCATCCTATTGAGGGATTTAGGTATTTCCCTGTATTTTGTTTTTAATATATGATGAACAATCTTGAACTAAGTGTTTGGTCACATCTATTTTCCTACAATTCTTAGAAATAGTATATTAAGTAAAAGACATAATCACATTTAACTTTTTAAAAAATACATAGTGCCAAATTATCTTTCATTGTTAATAATATAAATTGACATAACAGTGGAAGATAATTGTGTGTGTTTGAGATTTGTCTGGGAAATATCCAGCCAGGTACTATATGTACTATGAAAAATAGAGACATTCACTGAAGATACAGGATACAAGAAACATTGTACATAGGACGATGATGCCTCAGTCCCCTTCAAAATAGGTACCCTGGGACCTCACACAGTTCTCCCAATTGCCATCAGCTGTCCTGTCATATTTTCCTGAATCTCATCAACAATCTGAAATCTCTTCTCTTTCAAAAGTGATTTTAGTTTTGGGGAAAGCTGGAAGTCACAGGGCACTAAATCTGGGCTGAAGGGGGCTGAGTCATCTGGGTGATTTGATGTTTTACCAAAAAACTGCATGAGAGGTGATGTTTGAGCAGGCATGTTATCATGATGAAGCTGCTAATCACCAGTTGCCCAATAGCTGTGGCCTTCTGAATCATGTCAATAGTTTCCACGGAGGAATGTTCAAATATAATGCAAAGTTGGATGGAGATTCATTGCTCTACTCGCTCAGTCATTTTGAATGTGACAGCCACACTGTATACATGCTCACTCAACAGTGTCTACCACCCTCACTAACTAAGTACAGTGAAGTTGTCATTGTTCACACATGCGCATTCCGGTCTACACTCCTTGGCTGTTAGGATACATCAATGTCATGCAAACTGTTCTCGTTTTATATTAACAGTGGCCAGACTTTTGCTGGACACTCTGTCTGTCTATTATCTATGCACATACAGGGTCCGGCAGAAGCAAGGCCTGCTTGAGTGCAGTTGGTAGGGTAGTAATATGGGTGGAATAATTTATAGTTTTATTTTGAACATTTCACCTAAAATGTCATGTAGTATGCTTGAGTGTGATATTGTTATGTTACAGAATTACATGCTTATGATTTTGTAATAAGATTTTTGTGATAAAGGGGGGGCATTATTTGTGCTGGACCCCATGCAGGTGTGCGTGTATGTCTTAATGGTTAAGATACAGGCTCTTGAGACTTTAGTTCACTTACTGTGTGAGTATGTGAGCTTGGACAAATTACATAACCTCTCTGAATTTGTTTTTGTTCTAAAAAATCAGTATCAATTAACTATAAAAATTGCATGAGAAACAAGTATATGCAATGCCTGGCAACAGTGATTAAGAAATATTCATAATTATTGTTCTTATGAGGTACAAATGTAAATTCTCTTGGTTTAGAATCACTTCACTTGCCTTCACAGTTATAAACAATATTAAATTGTAAAGGCTTATAACCAGTTATAATGCTTCCATCAAGATAAACATTCATTTAATCATATAAATCCATTTGTACATTCAATCACTCAACAAATATATTTGTTTACTGAGCTTCAAAGACCAAGCCAAACATACTCCCTGACTCTGTGCAATTTATATTTATGAGGCAGATAGGCAATAAAAATACAAATAACTGTGTTATGATAGGAATAATGAAGGAAATATAACTAATACTGTAATTGATGCTGTCAATAGTTGGGGCCCCTGCTTACGCTAAGATGATCAGGGAAGAGCTTTGAGACATATGTAGGCTGAGGCAGGAAGAACATGCAGGGACCAGTCATGTAATAACTTCAGGAACAGATGGTCTGGTGGGGAAACAATTGTGGGGAGGATTAAAGAACAGAGACCAGGGTGCTTAGGCCGCTGAATGAGATGCAACTGGAAAGACGCAATGCAGCTCTTGCAGGTCCTGGTAGGCCACAGCAAATTTAACTTTATGCACATCACAAGAGAAGTCATGCAAACTATTTTAAGTGAGGGAGAGACGATACCTGCTTCAAATGTGGAGATTTTTCTGCATGGGGGATACACTGGAGCGCATGGGGGGACTGAGGAAGTTAGGAAGTTCTCTCCCTTCTACCTTCTGAGATGGCTTTATTCTTCTATAAACAAAACATCATAGACCCCCATTCCACATCATTCTAAGAAGTCTAATATCTTCCCCAGTACTTGAGATCTCCTCACAGTGGGGTGTGGTGCACTTAATTCTCCAGTCAGCTCTACTCCAGCAGCTCCAAAGTCACACCCTCAATCACCCAGGACAGTTTTGACCCTTTTTCTCCTGGCAGCTTCCAGTCTGCCTGATCTGTATCATCCCAAACATAGACCCAAGTATCTCCTGGGCCCTACAGAGCAAGGCTATGCTGTGTACCAGACCTTCACTCAGTGGACTAGTGGAAGAGAGGATTATAGCACAAAAGAGAAAATGACACTGTCAAATAGTACAGTACCTAGTATACTGTGGCTGCCACTGCCTTGGGGACCCTTACTCATACTCATCTTTTTCTTTAAAGATACATATTCCTTTCCAGAATCCCAGGGCCCCAACTCTTTATCTCTCAGGCCACCAGGGGAAACACTAAAACATCCTGCTTCTTTATTAGGCAGAATACCTTAGGCCCCTCTGTCAATCATTCCCACCTAGAAAAATCCAGGCCTTCCCAGGAGCATGTTTCTCATGAGATGAATCCTGCCATTTCCCTAGAATTTAAAACTGCCTCATTTTTAGTTTGTTTTTGAAGTAGCAATTTTTCCCTCTTTATAGTCTGGAATGCATTATTAGACAAAGAATGAAGTATCATAAACAGTTTTATTAAAAATATTCTAGAACTTAACCACTCAATGAGTATTGTGCTTTTTAATAATGAAAGATTTTCTCATGATGAATTACCATTTTGGACACCTTCATAATTGTTATCAGAATCTCTACTACATTCCTTTGACTATTTTCCATGGTGCAAAGTTAGCATAAGGGTAAATTCAATTTCCAAAACAACCTAAATTAATTTGGAGCCAAACAAGATTAGAACATATTTTTTGGGTTGGAAATGAAATGTTTATATATAATTTCTAAAAAGGGGGTTAACTTTGGAGGTAAACATACAGTATTAGGGGAGGGAAGTCTATATACTTGGATTAGAAAAAAGTAACATCTTTATTTTCACTAACCTCTACTGAAAATAACATTTCATCATGAATGAAGGTAACACTCCAATCTTATCAGCAACACCTGTGACTTCATATTGGCAATATATCTTTATAAATATCACAGATATTTTCATATATTCTAGTTACTATAGATTATCTTGAAAGTTATAATCACTATGAAATTAATGTGATTATTAGACTTCCTGCTTGATCTTATCTAATATTTAATAGAGAAGCACATATTACTATATCAGAAATATTTTTACCATTTTGACTTTCAGTTTAATTGGTTTCCTTTATTATCATATGAACTTTATTTTATGCATTAAAACAAACTCTTTTCAGAAAGCATCCATAGGTCCCACCTATGGATGCCAAGGCATAAAAAGTTAAGAACACTTTTCCAAAAGCAGAGTTCCTAAAATGATTAGTGTAGATGCACAGCTCTTCCCTACTACTCTGATGGCATTCATGGGGATACAAAACGTTTGGATATTATTTCACATTCTAGTCTGTAGCACTGGTGAACTACTCACATTCGGTGCCTCAGCCCCCAGCTATATAATGGGGATAAATAATTGTATCTTCCTCATAGAGATAGAGGATTAATTCATTAACACTTAAAACAGAGTGCTAGTACATAAGGAATACTCAGTAATTATTATTCATGTTGTATCTTTTATGTAAAAACAATTTGCACTTTAGAAATCCCCTCATATCTCCAATTGTCCTTTGTTAGGCATTTTTCCAGCCAAAAGGCTCCCACCCAATAAAAACCACGGGGGCTTGTTGACCGAGAGTAAATGTGGGTCACATACCTTTTCTAAGGTGGACAGTGGTTTGGATGGCAGCAATCTCATGGGCCAGGTGCTGAGGGGAGGGAAGCCCTGCCCTGGAGCCAGACAAATCTAGTTTCCTTCTGACTCTGACATGTAGGGTGATACATACTGTGATTTTTGGCAGATTACTTAATCTTTAGAACTTTGGTTTACTTATCTATAAAACAGAAATTAAAATATCTTCCTCTCAGAGTTGCCTTAAGAATTAAATGAGATGATGTAGATTAAGACATAGCTTCACAGACATAGGGATATGGAATAAACTCAAAATATTAACAGGCTTCCATTTCTGTTTCCCTCTCTCCACTTTTTAGCAACCCTCTGAATCTGTGGATGGCCATACTACGGACCCAGTGAAGGATCCATAGTAAATTGCAATTGCAAAAAACAAACCAACAAAATAATCACCTCTCCTAATGAATTTTTCGTTTACTTTATAGAGGAAATTACCCCACTTGGCCTTATAAAACAGGATCCACTTGCAGCGCCTGCCCCCAGAATGACAAGTGTGTGGACAATATGTGCAGTAAGTAAAAGAAACAATCTAGGAATAATTCAATGTGTTTGAAAGTGCTACTTTCTACAGCTAAGAATGCAAACATTTGTTTTATCCTAATAGCCATTTTCAGGGAAGGTTGTACCAGGTCACAATCAAACCAGTGGCTTATTGTCCTAGGAATGAATATATGTTTAAGATAAATTTAAGGAAGCAAGTACTATCCTTCATATGTAGCTGTAGTTAGTACAACAAAAAATTACTATGGTGTTGGAAACCACAGACCCAAGATTTGCTAATTGCAGCAAGATCAAAAATTTGTATAATAAAGATACCCAAAAGAATGGGATTCTGAATTTTGTGATACTACTTGTCCAAGGCACTCAAGGCTTGCATTTTCACCTATAGAAGTAAATAAAGCTGTAATGTGGCACTTTTTAAATAAGCAAAACAGCATTTAATGAAAAACAATGTAGAAAGACAATGAAAGTAACTTCAAAGATGTTTCACTAAATGTCCTAGCAAAATTCTGCTTTATAATTTTGAAATAATAATTCATAATTGGCCAAAAGTTGATTTATGGTTCCTCTTCCAGAAACACTCTTTTTCATCCCAGTATGTTTTTAAGTTTTCCCCATGGTGTGAAGAAAGGAAACCTCAGTTAAGCTATCAGAGTTGTGCAAATCCTGTAGTACTTTTGTGTCCACATCTGTAACCAGCAAAACCTCCAGAGATGGGGTGGGGTTCTTAGAGTAGAGGCAGGAGAGAGTGGACTGAGTTTAACTGTTTGGCAAAAGTGTCCCACTGTTTACAATTGTAAGGTCTCTTCAAGGTCTAAAAGGATCCCTTTCTGCTAATGGAAACGCTTACCTCTCATCTCTAAGAACAGTAACAGTTTATCGACCAGCTCTCTGAGCCAGTCATTTCTCCCCAGTTCAACCACTCTTCACTTCACTCACATCAGTTTTGTTAAGAGAATTGGTAAAGTGTAGTTCACGTGCAACAAATCTTTTTTCAGAGCACCAACTTATTAACTGAATTTTTCCTTCCATGTTGATGCAGCATTAGAAAGCATATTATTGTTATTATTTTTTGAGTTAGGCAATATAACTTAGGAGTTAAGGCCATAGATTTTGGAAACAACATGCTGTGGCTTCCAGTCAAGGTAGCAGTGTAGGGAAATGCTGCACTTGCCTCCTCCCACAACCACATCAAAATTACAACTAAACTACAAGAACAACCATCATTGAGAACTGCCTGAAATCTAGCTGAACAGAAGGTTTCTATATGTAACTTTCTTCTGTATAACTAAGGGAGTACAGAAGGCGGCACCATCAAAACTGGTAAGAGGGATGGAGACACAGAACTGGCTGGTGCCACATCCATGTATGGTTAAAATCGGGAGGGATATCTCAGCTGCAGAGGACCAGGGGTCCCAGCCCAACACTCTAACTTCTGGCCGTGAAAACCAGTGGAGTCTGTGGCTGAGTGAGATGGTGGGCTTCTGGAGTCCCAGGTGCTCCTCTGAAAGGGCCTGTATAGACTTACTTGGTCTCATTCACTCTGACATCCAGCCCTGAGCCAGCAGCTCAAACGGTGCCTGGGTCACACAGTCAGGAACTGATTGTGTGGCTTCAGAGCAGGGCTGGGGGCGGGGCAGCTTCCTCCCAGACAGAAGGGCTAACAGAAGCTATCACTCTTTTGCCAAGCCCTCCCCCTGCAGGCACAGGCAGGCACTATATCTGAGTTTCTGTCAACCTGGCTAACACTCTTCTCCCTGCCCTGATGTTTTCCTGAGACCCCAACCCACCAACTTTTGGGCCCACCCAAGCCACTTTCAGTGGTTTTCCTATACAAATTGCCTCTCTCGGCTCATGCTTTGGACTTTCCTGAAATCTCTCAAAAGTTCACAAACCCAAACATCTGGGTTCAGCATGCCCATACCTCTTGCTAAATGTTCTCAGGCCCAGCACTAGCAGCAGCTAGATGTGCTTCACAGCTTACCCTCTCCCAGGCACCTTCAAGGCCAGCACAAGTGGCAAACAACTGCACATCAATCTATACCTCATACCAGGTGACCGTTGGCAGGGCACAGGCAGTGGCTGATCTTGGCCTGCACCTCCCAAGAGGCTCCAGAACCAACACATCTGGTGGCCAGCTTCCGACCGCACCAGAGCACCAGCCAACTATTCAGTATCTTCACTGATGCGGACCCCGGCTTGTGGGGTCCACGACATTGTGGATGAGATATGAAACAAATTCACATGGGCTACCAAGTCCTGTGGAGGAAAAGGGACAGCATGGCCACTCTCTCAAGGGGAGAGCGCCTTGACCCTTGCCTTGACAAGCTCTTATTGGGTTCAATTTGCACAGGAATACAGGATGTATAGTAAAGCTCATCAATCATTATCAAGCAATAATGATCAAACAGATAACATTCAAAGAACTCTTAGGGCCTATTTTGAGTCAGGGTCAAATAGCTAAAGGGCCATAAAACTTTGGGGAAACAAATTCATTAGATGCTTGGACCCTTATCATTTAAATTGAGTGTATTAGCAAAGCAGGTTTCACAGGATTTTATGCATTCTTTCTGAGGCCTGATCACCCTAGGGAACCAGCCCTTTCCAGCACAGGGTGGCACCCACCACTGGCTTTGTTTCAGGCTTAAGGCATTGTTTCAGGCTTAAGTCAGGCAGGGAAAGTAAGGCAGCCAAGAGATTAGGAGACTTCTTGCAGACAGAATGAGGACTCAGGCTATGTCAAAGCTGAGGGGCAAGGGTCCATCACCCCTGTTTTCTATAGCCCCCCAAGTCCTTCCCTAGGGACTCCCTGTGATCATGCCTGTCTTAGGTCATCCCTCCCTTGAGGAATCTCACCCATCATTGGCTAAACAATCAAGCATTGGGGACCACGTAGGGTAAAATAAAAGGAGCAGAGGTGGTATCCCTGCCAGGGAGATAAGCTTTGTCTCCTTAGTGGCTTATGGTCCCAAGGTCGCTCACTCAGCCTTAGCCATGGAGGGGGGTTACAGCTTCTGAGACCAGCCAGGGCAGTTCCCAACACTTCACAAATGACACGCTTAAAGGGCACACTCTCCAGGCACCAGAGCCCTGCTAAAGCGAATCCTGCTCTGTGGGATCACAAGAGCTCTTACACTGCAGCATGGCCAGTCCTCATAAAAAATCAGCATGAGGGTCAGTCCCTCCCACTGATGTGCCAACAGCAATCAAAGCTCAACTGCAACAGGAGGGCACACACAACCCACACAAGGGACATACCTGGAGAACTGGGCTCAGGTGACCAGGAAGACTGTACCACTGGGCCCCACAGGGCCCCTCCTACAGAGGGCCATTCTACCATGACTGGGAGAAGCAGCAGCTCTACCTAATACATAGAAACACACACAGGAAGACAGCCAAGATGCAGAGACAAAGAAACATGTCCTAAAAAAAAGTTGTCTGGACCTATTTCCTTGATAATAAAATATAAATGATATACCTCTTCACAGGCTGGGTGAAACAATTCAAACAAAACAAACAAAATACACATACACACAAAACATGGACCTGGCATGCACTCAATGTAGTATTTTCTATTATCCCCAAATTTATCCTCCCTATAACCCCAATGTTAAATTTACTCTTGGTGGTTTGATAGTTTTTTTTTTGTTCAAACTTTTAGGCAATTTTCTTATGCTCATGAACAATTCTCTTTAAAATCAGTGATTCAAACTGAGACAATTATTTTAAATTATTTAAAGGGTAATTTAATTGTTGCCCTTGGTTAGTTGTCTGTCCTTCTCACTCAACTCTTAAGTTCCAAACAGGTAGGTTTTTAGGCCTGCTTACTTCACTGTCATGGCCAAGGTGCCTATTCTGGCTACCAAATAAGCACTAATAGAGTGCATGTTTCCTAGCAAAACAAACAAAAAAACTTTAAAAAAAAGTCAGTATGATTACTAACAAAAACAAGAAGATTGCTGGAGTTTTGTTTTAGCTTTTGATGTAGGACATTCAGCTTGAGGTGGACTCTAATCTTGTGGAATAAAATTCAGAAAACTAAGACTCTAGTCCAACAATAAAAAGGCCCTGGGCTCTGAAGAAAGATGAAGAGGAAACACATGCTAACTTGCATGGGGCTAAGAATTAAAAAAATTTTATTCACAGAGTCCACCTCTGACAAATCAGGGCAAACACTGGGGGAAAACCTCTGTGGTCTCCTAGGTGCTGCTGGTAGGTTCAACAGATCCCCACGGAGGCCAATCAGGGCGGTTTTGTGAAACGTGCCAGGTATATTGGATGGTACACGAGAAGGTTTTAGCTAGTGCATGATGTATTTGTCCCAATAGTCAAGTTGAATATTTAACACACTATATATGTAAGGAAAAAAATGCAAGTAGCACATCAGATTGATTTCATGGATATAATTGCCCAGAAAAGTTAAAGGAGCAGCAGCTTCACAGTTACGAACTACAGAAAAAGCCCAAAGACAAGTATGATGATGAGGGATGCTCGCAGCGCCCAGAGGGTCAGCTCCTTCGTGGTTCCACCACAGGAATCCAACAGCAGCTGGAGCGGAACTGGTGTGAAAACGTGTCTAATAAAGTCTCTAGAAGGCTGAGGCAGATGCGGAGTTCTCTTCCCAGTGTTCAGAAGGTCACATTCCAAATAAAGCTCAGTGGAAGGAGCAGAGTGATTATGCCTTTATGACTGCCAAATGCCCTATTGATAATTTAATGACATACTGGAGTGGATGAGATGCCACTCTCTCCATTACTCACTGATCCTTCTAAGGGAGGAACTTATTTTTAGAAAAAAATATTTTAATACATTGTTCACACTGAATATTACTAATATTTAAATGTTTATCTTATTTTTAAATTCCAATGTTTTTTTATTTTAATTATATTCATTATCTTCTAGAAATGGCATATAAAATGACTTACCATTTATAGTAGTGTATACAAAATATTTAAAGTTTATATAAAAAGTTGCTTTAAAATATCAAGTTAGTGCAGTTAATATAATAAAATCTTTAAAAATTAACCTTTGAAAATCATTGCAATAAAGTCAAAGTAACAGTTAATGGTTATAATTAGAAACTTGGCTTTTTAAAATAAAAGACTCATCAGTACCTACTAATTTTTTTTTCTTTGACTTTATAGTTAACCCACAGCGAGACAAAGTCTCACGTATGTATATAAATCTCATTTCATTAAGGTCTTTGTGAATTACATTACTGCATTATGAGAAACAACGTTTAAGATGTTGTATGTTTGCTCCACAGGTTACTACTCTACTGTGTATCCAGACTGGCCGATATATTCACGTAACAGATCCTTATCTCTCTTTCTCATTGTCAGTCCACCAATACTAATACTGAGTGCTATTATTACCATTTTGGTCAAGCACAAATATCCTCATTTAGTTCTTTTGGGCTAATACAACTACGAAAAGTTTGCAAATTCATTACATATGACTTTTTTAAAAATGACATTTAGGTGTATCTCTAATTTCAATTCATTCCAGGGGGGGAAAGAAAAACATTGCTGCAGTAAAGCCATAATCAAAAGCAGCAGCTGCTCAACATCCTAACTCTGCAGGATAAACTCATGTTTGCTTTCCACTCTTCTATGAATAAGCACTGTTTTCAGGCTGCCACAGCTGTGACTTTCAATAAGTAACGTAAAATGAGTGAACTAGATTCAGGTGATTCTAAATAAGTCCACTGGCCTTCAGTAGTAAAACATTTCTACATAACTTGTTGCATGCTGACTCAACTCTAAATATCTGGTTTTACCCACTTGCAATTTGATGTCTTTCTGGGTTATCACTTCCCCAAACTTAGAATTCAATGGTAATTAAGGGATTTGACTTACTAGGCCTTGCTTGTTTTGCCTAGAACAAAAGATGAAATGAGATGCCTTACAAAAAGGCATAAGCCTAAATACTTGTTATCAATAGACAGAGCACTAAGAAATCTGTATTTATTTTCCTCAAAGCAAAATGCTGGGGCATATCTGTATTTAAAGACTAACCAAATGGCATCATTTGATTTGATGGATAATTACAACAGCCACATTTCAAAATCTTTATATACACAACCTAAAGAAATAACTCCTAAAATCATGCTAAACCAGGCCTGCCTGGAACACAGCACATGCAATGTATACATAGATCCACCACTCTGTAGTACAAAATTTTTCAAAAAACACATGGAGAAAATAATTTGTTTATAAATAGCTGTATATGTAAACATTCATAAATAACAAAACTCAGAAAAAATTAGAGTATTACTTCTTATACATAAGGCACCTAATGCCCTAGTATCTCAAAGTCCTTTACAAAAGGTTAACTTGGCAAGTTCTAGTTGTTTTTGTGTATATTACTTTTCGTGTTTCCATTTTAAGCTTAACTTCTTCAGCTGTAAGACCTCCCAGTTTTTTTGTGTGTGTGAAACTCTCTGGTTGTGTCTCTATTTGTGCATGTATGGTTGTGTCTGTATTTGTGCATGTGTATCTACCTCCAGAAATTTAATAGAATTTATATAAAGAGCCCTGTTTAACTGGTTTAAAGAAATTGTTTACATAAATTTCCCAAATGCTTTTCAGGTTCACATAGTCTGAGAAATTATTTAATATTAAAGTTAATTTAACTTTGTTGGTTTAATTAAAAGACATCTTTAAAGATAGCAACATTTAATATTTTTTATTTCATCTGGATTTACAAAAATACGTTTATCTCTGTTAGTGTTAAAAATTCTAAATAATGTGGAAGGAACTGATGTGTGTTTTCAATAAAAGATGGAACAAGGTATGGAGATATGTTTACACTGGCAAAAATCAAAATGATTTTGTCTTGGTTATTTCAGAATGCAGAGAGAGAATATTGCCTCTTAGAATTATGCTGGCTAAAATTAAATTATTATAATGGCTTTTTTCAAATTAAGCTTTAATATCAATGCTGTGCTTATGTAAAGCTAAAACTTTTTTAAGTATGTTTTATTGACTATTAGTTTTCCCAATTTGTCCTTTATCCCCCCTCCTCCCTGCACCTCCCAACCCTCCAGCATTCCTCCCCCTTAGTTCATGCCCATGGGTTGTACATGTAAGTTCTTTGAGTCCTGTTTACCATACCATTTTTCATCTCTCCCCATTTATTTTATGCCTACTAATTATGCTCGTTCTTCCCTGTACCTTCTCCCCCCATTCCTTCCTTCCCCCTCCCCACTGAATTCTCTCCATGTGATGTTCATTTCTCTGATTCTGTTCCTGTTCTGGTTATTTGCTTAATTTTAGTTTTTATTGTTTTTCTTCTCTTTTACATTCATTTGTTGATAGTTGTGAGTTTGTTGTCATTTTACTGTTCATATTTTTGATCTTCCTTTTCTTAGGTAAGTCCCTTTAACATTTCATATAATAATGCCTTGGAAGTGATGAACTCCTTTAACTTGACCTTATCTGGGAAGCACTTTATCTCCCCTTCCATTCTAAATGATGGCTTTGCTGGATAGAGGAATCTTGGATATAGGTCCTTGCCTTTCATGACTTCAAATACTTCTTTCCAGGACCTTCTTGCCTGCAAGGTCTCTTTTGAGAAATCAGCTAATGATAGTCTTATGAGAACTCCTTTGTAGGTAACTGTCTCCTTTTCTCTTGCTTTTTTAAGGATTCTCTCTTTATATTTAATCTTGGGTAACTTGATGATGATGTGCCTTGGTGTGTTCCTCTTCAGATCCATCTTCTTTGGGACTCTCTGGGCTTCCTGGTAGTCTGTTTCCTTCGCCAGTCTGAGGAAGTTTTCCTTCATTATTTGTTCAAATATGTTTTCATTTTCACATGTCTGGGACAACCTGAAACATTCCAATGTCCTAATTACAGGGGTGCCAGAAGGAGGAGAACATATGCCTGTGGGGGAGGGCCAGACAGGGAACAGTAGAGCTCGCTTGCTCATCTCTAGTGCACTTTTCAATGGACTCTCTTGTGAGACTGGGAGTTTCTCCTACCGCTGCAACCGCTGAACCCAAAGCCACCTCTGAGTCCCCTTCAGTCAGCCCCACCTGCGCAGCCCACAACCTCACCGCAGCCAGCCCCGCCCCCAAGGTCCACAGTGTAGCTGCAGCTTTTCTGAGTTGGCCTGCGAGGTCTACTGCCTTACTGGTCTGTTTGCTCTGGTTGACTTTTTTCTTTAATTCCTTGGTTGTCAGAGTTGCACGCAGTTTGATTTTCTGGTGCTTCTGCTTGTTTATTGATTTTAGATTGGTTGTCATCCTCCTTTTGGTTGTGTGAGAAAATGAAGGGTTTCTACCAGGTCTCTACCTTGGCCAGAACTCCTCTGCAAAGCTCTGTAAGAGCTCCCAGTTTCCTCTTCTTTGCTTTCTGAATCTTTCCCTTGATAGCAGCCACATCAATTTTAGTTTCAGTAGAAGCTAGGCAAATTAAAGATACATTTAATTCTTTAGATTTTACCAAATAAAACAAGCAATATGTATTTAAGACAATAATTTCAGAATACTACTATAATGGGGGGTTATATTATAAAATACAAAACACTTGTCATCTGCCTAAAGGTAAGTTAGAAATTTCTTTAAGAGAAGACAAGTCATAAAAATACATTAGTGAAAGTATACATGAAAATGGCATTATAGTTTAGTCATTTGAACAAATTACTGGGTGCAACTATCTTAAAACTACATTTTTCCCTTACATCATACTGGAAATGAGATTATTTTTATTTGTATTCATTTCCCTATTTTAGAACTTTAGAATGCTCATCAATACACCAATTTTCCATCTTGCACATTAAAATAATTTAAAATTACATTTCATGAGGACTATTACATGTAGTCCCTTCAGCTTCATTATTTTTAATTAACTAATCTTAAAGTTATAAGTCAAAATATACTACATTTAATATCACATAAAATCTTAAAGTTTTCCAAATATTTGTTCACTAACTATAATAATCCGCAAGTGTTTATAGGTCCTTGTAACAGAACTCAACCATCTAATCAATGCCAAAAGCTTGAACAAAATAAAGAAAGCAGCAAAAACAACACAACTTTTTCCTATCATTTAAAGAATAGTATTCAGAGCATAAAAGAATCACAAGATAAAATATCATACAAACTACTCAGCAACCTGAGAAGCAGGGAGTTAATGCCTCCACTATAGTGGAATAGCTGCATTTTTAATACTGATAAACTGAAATTAAACTACCTTCAAAGTACATGACTGACAAACTATACAAACTAGAAATATAATGCAATGACATTTTAAGCTTTTACTTACCCAATGATCTTCCTAATAAAATATATTCCAGGGTAAGGCAAAAGTAGGTTTATAGTTGTGAGTACACAAAAGTTTATTCTTGTATTATTTGTTACTGTATTATTTTCCATATGAACAGCTGTAAACCTACTTTTGACCCACCCTGTATTTTTACTGAGGTTAACACTGATGTAATGTAAGACACTATGTCAAATAGTAATGCCATATCTGGTTGTGACCAACAGGTCATAGGCAACGCTGCCAGTGACACCCTCCCCTCACAGAACAACTGGCCACTTTGCAGAGTTGCTTTAGAAATAAAAAGCACAATGTTACTCATGGGAATGAACATGTAAAGAGGAGAGGATGAGTGAAAATGAGAGTAGGAGCAGAGAAGAGAAGGCACGAGAGTGTTTCCTCTGAGGATCTGTTTAACAGCCCCTGAATAGAACCCTCCCATTATTTAGTTGGTGTCCCAAGATGACAGAAATCCATGTTAACAATACAGGATCAAATTTTAAGCCACTGATCACAGTAAGAGCAGAGAAGCACAAATTCTGATAAGCTGTTTCTGAGAGGCACAGTAGCAGAGCTCAGGGATCTCAGGGCTTTGATTTTTACAGAGGAGTCACTGCGCTGGTTTCTATCTTTCAAAATGAAAGGTCCTTCCCACGCACATCCAGAGGTCAGGAGAGGATGAGCAGTCTGGGATGCTCTTAACCTAGGCACTGGCTGCTGCCAACCTGTAAGTTACCTCAGTTGTCCCTTGTCAGTAGGATTAGTGATTAATGAAATGCTATGTGAATTAATTGAAGGTAAGGTTATTTCTTAACACTCAAAAAATCAAAAAGATTTAGATAAATTCACCGAGGGTCTACTTTCCATGTAACAGATTTTACCATCATACCAAGAACTGGAAAACAAGCCTTACCTTCCTTAGGCTTCACAATAGGTTTTTCTTTAGGTGGAATAAAAGCTTTGTTTCTCTCCTCTTGCCTCTTAGTGAGAGCTTCTGCTTGTTTAGCCTACATTATTAATAAAGGATACATGAGTAAAACACAACTTACAGTTAAATAAGAATTCAAGTTTTTGTGAACTTAAGATTTTAATGTTGTAAGCTAGACAGTCTTACCTTGATTGCTTCCATTTTCTGCCGCTTCTTTTGACTTGCCTTCAGAAAGTATTCACCAGTAGCCAGTTCTTTGTCGATCTGTTGAAATCAGTATTTATAATTACATCAGAAATAGTGCAGATGACAGTCATTTCCTAAGAAAGGAATGTGCATGAGGTAAAAACAGTGGGGTCAAAACCCTACAATTAATTCACTAAGGGAGTGAGAAAGAAAGAAGGGGACTTTCTCTAAGCTGAAGGGAAAACCTACACAAAAACACGGGGGCAGGAAAGTAGGCGATGTATTTGCTGAGTAACACACAGGCTTTTTGTGGGATGGAAGGTCGATGACTCGGAAAAGTGTAACAGGAAACTGGAAAAATAGTTTTGAGGAAGACTGAATGTTGGGCGAAGGAAGTGGGACATGAGTAAGAAATGAGTGAAGTTTCTGAGAAGAGTAAAGAGATCAAAGCAGCATTTCGTAAGGTACAGAAGAATGAAGAGATGAAAGCCTTACATAAAATTAGTAACATGCAAAATGAAAAACAAGAATTATCAGGATTTGGTGACTAATGAACACTAACTAGAGAAAGCTACAGTTCATTCATTCACTATCCAGTCGATTGATAATTAATCTATCTTGTACATACACAGCATTATTACACCTAAGACAATGTTCTAAACTCTTTACAGGTGTAAGCTCTTTATAATTACTAATTCACTTAATCCTCATTAGTAATTCTTTGAGATATTATCATTATCCCCATTTTATGTATGGGGAAACTGAGGCATGCACGGATTAAATTACTAGCAAATAGGGAACGGAATACATCAATTGAGATATCACTGTTTAAGGAGTGTACAGTTGTTGGGGAGAAAGACAAGATGATCACTGACCCCAGGACAGGACGACAGGCCATAAGAAGTAGAGCAGGCGCTGTGGAAGTGCGGTTTATTAACTGGACTGGATCCCTCTCCTTCCCCCAACCACCACTTTCTTCCTGTCTTCACGTCCTTCCCTTTCCAGAGGAGACCTCAGGACCCAGCACCTCCGCTGTTTTTTCATCATCATTCTTTTCCCTTTGACCTTTCATTAAACCTTCCCCAAAAATCTTCAAACACAGGGCTGTGGAGAAGACAGCACCCAGAAATGGATGGTTCACATGCTCAACACAAAGAACTAGCAGAAAGGAAAGTTTCCAAGAGAGAGAATAATGCAGCGAGACACCTCGGGAGACAGGTGAAGACAGAACTAAAAGAGCAGGTAAATAAAGGATACAGATGGGAAACATGTAAGTGAGAGAAGAGGAAACTGGAAGAATTCTTGCCTGATGGTCTCAAATATTTCAGTCAAACAAAATTCAACGTCATCTGCTAGGAGTGGGAGATGCCAAAAATACTGAGGACCTATCAGAGGTTGGAAACATATATTTGTAGTGGGTAGAAACCAAAGGCATGACTTTCCCCACCCACGTTTGGCAGCCACATTATGGAAAAGATGTCGTTATAGGGCTGATCCAAGTTTAAGAGGGACAGAAGGAAAGGGGAGCATGAAGGAAAATGATGATGGGCAAGATGGAAAAGGAAATTCTGGAATGGAAATTAACCCAGAAGACAATGGATGAAATGAGAGGCATTCATAACTTGGATAAAGGGTTATTAGGGTTAAAGGGTATTAGAATTTAAGATTTCAAAACTGGAAGAGTCATATAGCTCATGGTCACAGGAATGAAACTAAAGCAAAACAGAGAGCATTTTGGGCTAAATCATTAATTTTGGGGGGGCTACAGGGACATAAGTGACACCAACCACCTTGATATAGTTTACACTTACAATGTGAAGCCCCACCCCCAAGCACGTCGCCCAAAATAAGTCTATTTACACTTACGTTCAGTTTTCTTCTGTCTCTGCATACCCAGACACACAGCAATTCCACCTAAAATACTCTCAAGGAAGTTTTTGACAAAATTGACTTTAACAGTTCCTCCTCATGTAATGAAATTCAACATTTAATACTGACCTGACTTTCTGGCTGTGGTGATGGGAATGGTGTATACACCTTCTTAACCGTTTTTTACTTTGGTTCCTTGCATTTGTTTCCATTTTTGTGCTTGAACTGTGGCAAAAATCTTTCCCAATTTTGTGATCTGAATTTGGAATCTTGTACCAATTCTCTTTTAATCATTAAGGTCTTCAGTCATGCTATATAAGAACAATGTAAAAGTTTTAATTTCAAAAGTCATACATTTGTCAAACCAAGACATTATAAATATTGCCCTTATAAACAGTTCTAAGCCTGTTTGAGCAGGGGTGTCCAACCCATGGCCTTCAGGTTGCATCTGGCCCAGGATGGCTATGAATGTGGCCCACCACAGAATCGTAAATTTACTTAAAACATTATGAGATTTTTGTTAGTTTTCATTAGTGTCTGTGTATTTAATGTGTGGCCCAAGACAACTCTTCTTTTTTCAGTGCCCAGAGACACCAAAAGATTGGTCACTCCAGGAAGCTATTCCATAACAACAACAAAAAAACCCTGTAATCTCAGACCTGCATAATTAACCAGGCATCAGAAAACCATTAGAAAGTTAGATTAAGAAATTCAGAATTGTTAACATAAATTGAGATGAAAAAGAATAATTCAGCTTTTCAACCATTATTTCTTTAAGCCTTGAAATTCAACTAACAAGGAGAGCTCTTCATAAAGCTCCCTGCAAGCAGGAAGCTTTCAGTAGCACCTGAAATATCACAGGGGGGAAAAACGCAAACTTTCTCATGATCAGATAAAACCAACAGTCTCACATTTTCTCTACTCCATTTGAATTTTATAGAGATTAGAACATCAGAGGATGCAAATCAGGCATCAGGCACAAGACTAGCTCTCTTTATATTTAATATCCCAATGTACCTCAAAATTGTTATTTCCCACAAATCTAATAGAGACTTTTTAACTTCATCAAATTTAAGTGGACTGCTCAACAAATATCCATCATATAACAGCTCAGTATACTGTAGTTACATTTCCAAGGACAGTCATGAACTTGTGCACACAGGGATACAACAGATCTCTCTCAAAAGGTTAACACTAAATAATTTGAGTGTTAAATTCTAAAAAAAAAAAAAAGGAAGTTTTAATGCAATCTGAAATATTCCAGGCTTTATTTAATAGAGAAAAAGCAGAATTCTTAAAGATCACATCTTTAAATCTAATACATAGGGTCACAATCTAAGAAAACAGAATCGGTATCATCTACAATAAATTCTGTGGAGCCCTCTTTGTACTAAAACTGCGTAATACATCACAGTGCCCCTGTCAGTCCTGGGCTCCACAGAGACCCAGCTTCCAAGGAAGTAACTACAGGACTTGGGTGGAGTTGAGTGGGCTGAACTCTACCTCTAATTTATCCAAAACAGCTAAGTTTTGTCCATTAGACTTTCATAAAAAGTTTAATTTCAAGAAAGGTTTTTGTAGCTAAAAGAAGTGTGACAACCACTGTTACAGCAATATATAGTTAACTCTCACTATAATATTATAAATTGCATGAATCTTCTTCATAGTATCTAGGACCACTTTCAAACCTTAAATTTGCAAAGGAAAGTGAATTGGTCACTTATAAAGATTTTAATGAACAAAGTAGAAGGTAGGAGGGGTTTACTAGACTGCAAAATATCCAGCCAATTACTGCAAACTAAAATGACAGTTCCTTCAACTGCTTTTAGTGGCTCTTAGATCTTTTATATAATAGTCAAACTCCCTGGAATACAATGACATTATTCAGTTGTCCTGCTAAAATGTGACACACAGAACTAGTACAACACTCTGGAACTGTGACTTAGGAGAGAAGAGGGCTGGATTTAGTCAGAAAATGTAGGCTCAAATAATGAGACTGCCGCTTTTTATGGAAAGTCATTTAATTTTCCTGTTCCACCTTTCTCATTTAATGCAGAAATGAAAATACCTCAAGCACCTGTTGTAAGAATTGAATAATATATTTAGACTTTATAGAAGTATAAAGTTTCAGTTATTGCCCCATATGAAAAGAGCATGTAATTTACAAAATGAGGTCCAACAGAGTTCCATTAAAGGCAACAGAGTTCCAAAGGGAAGAAGCCAGATCCAGAGAGCAGCATCAAAAGGAATTAACTGAAACAGTATCTGCTCCACACATTTTCGTATAACAAATTTAAAAAAATGTTCATGAAAACATTAAATAAGCATTATAATAAATTCAAGCACAAGAAAACATATCTTTAAGGGAAAGAAATTTTGAGAGTTTGGTCTCTACTATCCATATTCATTCCTGCAAATAACAAGATCTGTTCAATTCCCTAGCATTTGAGCACATCAGACTACCTCATGTTTTTCTATGTGTTACAGACTAAGAGGTGCCTAAATACCCATTTAAAATTTGCAGGGAGAGGAGTGATCGTGTGCAGCCCTTCTGACGGAGAATCGGATGTGTCTATAATTGTCAAAGGTCAGCCATAATACAATAGGGTCCGGGAGCAATGACTCCCTCAAATTCCAGGAAGCACAGAGTACTTATAAATGGGTGATCAAACAAGGCACACCCAAAAAAAATACAATAATCATAAAACAATATATTATAACAATTATTTAATTTGCTCTCTGCTGAAAATTAACTACAGGTAATAAGTAGTTCTAACCTCTTTTAAGCCTCTAAAGGACCCAATAGCTGAAACCGTGTTTCCCTGAACTGTAATGTAACAGTTTGTTAAGGGTTCCAGCTCCTACATAAAAAGAACAGTAAGTTGAAATTCAGTTGAAATATACTGAAAAACAAATGACAGAGGAAGATACTCAAGTTTTCTACTGATAAAAAGTACCTCCAATGTAGATCCTTTGGATAAGTCATTGTCTTTTTTTTACAAATCTTTCTTTCTAAAGAACCTATTTTAACAGTCACATGCAACATCATCCTGAAGAATTCACAATGCCTTTTGAAAAAGTACAGAAAATACTCCAAAAATACCAATACATTTCCTTTCAAAAACCACAGTGAAATCTAAACAGAATAATGAAAACTATGAAGGGAAGCAGGGAGGATTAAAGGAGGCAGGGATGGATGGATATAGTGTTGTATAAGCAAAATCTCTGTAATTGCAAACTTACCTGTTCAAATGAAACACTCCTTGCTAACAGTTTTATCAGGTCTCTGGCCCTAAAGATGATACACGGATCAAAGGTCTTCTTTGTTGTGCAGACCATCATACTGCCCTCGATCAGGTCCAGGGCTGTGTTAATGTGCTACAGAAAGGAAAGTGCAAACAAGCAGCTGTCTAAAAATGCATTCAATTTTAGATAATTATAGAGGCTTTCCTAATCTATTAACTACTGTGAGTTAAGCTCTCTCTAAAATTATATCAACAACCCCGCTGAAGAACCTGGGTAGTTAATATAAAGAATGCTTGATTACTTTCATCCTTCACGAACATAGAAAGTTGGGCAATTAAAACCATTTATACTTACTTGGTTTTAGAATACTTTGTAATTATTGAAATAAAGATCATTTCTAGTTTAAGAAATATATATCTATCCAAATAAAGCCTTACTTAAGACCTAAATTAAAACCATAAAGCTGTATGGCCTCCCTATCCCGGACCTAGCTCTAATCCATCAACTGCTCCTTAGGGTGACAATGAACTTCCCTTTCCAACTTTTCTCAAGCCAGTTTGAATTAGCTAAATACAAACAAAGTAAAAACAAATTATCATAGGTTTCTAAAGAAGCAATAATTGGTAAATTATGCATCAATCCTCAGAAGGAAAAAAAAAGATTTCAATAAAGCAAATAAAAATGCTATTTTCTGACATGTGAGCATATTCTGAAGAATACTTCAATGAGCTATTCAACATAAGGCTGGGGTCTCTGTTGAGTTTAAAAAAAAAGAGAAGAGAATTAGAAGAGAAGAGAGTGAGATCATGCACACCCTGCCCTGGTGTGACTCAGTTGGTTGGAGTGTCTTCCCATAACCAAATGGTTGCAGGTTTGATTCCCAGTCAGGGCACATACCTAGGTAGCAATTTCAATCCCTGGTCTGGGTACATATAACCCCTAGTCCAGGCACATATTGGAGGTAACCAATTGATGTTTCTCTCTCACACTGATGTTTCTCTCTCTTCTTTCCTCTCTCTAGAAGCATTGAAAAAATGTTTTCAGGTGAGGATTTAAAGAGAGAGAGAGAGAGAGAGAGAGAGAGAGAGAGAGAGAGAGAGAGAGAGAGAGAGAGAAAATATCCAACCTCAGGTATAGATAGCCGTAAAACACTGCTTACAATTTGCCAGCCACCCTCATACCCAAAAGGCACAAACGACTCCAGAGTAGTATCAGTTTGAGAAATACATGTATATTTTTAAGATCTTATGTATTCATTTTTAGAGAGAGGGGAAGGGAAGGAGAAAAAGGAGAGAAACATCAGTGTGTGGCTGCCTCTTTCACACCCCCGACTAGGGACTTGGCCTGCAACCCAGGAATGTACCCTGACTAGGAATCCAACTGGCAACCCTTTGGTTCGCAGGCTGATGCTCAATCCACTGAGCTACACCAGCTAGGGCAAGAAATATATTTTCTATCACAGCCTAGTCCCCATATACATATACATACATATAAAAATGAACCAAAGCTTCATAAGACGATCCATACCTTTTACATGATAAATTCATTTTAAAAAGATTCATTATATCTTCTAAATTGCCTTCTGAATTCACTAAAGGATTTCAACACACAGTTTGAAAACAAAAGCAAATATTCTGCCCTGACTTGTGTGGCTCAGTTGACTGGCAGTCATCCCATAAAGCAAAAGGTCTCCAGTTCAAGTCTGGTCAGGGCACATGCCTGGCTTTTGGGTTTGGTCACCGGTCACAGTGCCCACAAGAGGCAACCACACATCCATGTTTCTCTCCCTCTCTTTCTACTTCCCTTCCCCTCTCTCTAAAAATAAATATCATGTAAAAAAACAAAAACAAATACACTGCTCTCGGGGCATGGCAGCAGCAACAAACAGAGAAGTTGGCATATCCACAGCTTTCATTTAAAATGAAAACTAAGCAACTCAAACTGTATAGGGGCACGGACACTACCATTGCACAGAGCAGGCATTATGAAACTTGGGGTTCACAGATGAGTGTCAGACAGTCCATGAAATCCCTACAATTTTAAGGGTATGTGAATTTTCAAAGTACTCTATTACTCACAAAATTATAAACAAATGGATTAGAAGAATAAAGTTTATCTAGGCTGTTTAAAATACCAAAGGAACCAAAATAACTAATTATGCCAGCCGGTGCATTAAAAATATCCACCAGCACACTTAAAAGGTATACGTAGGAGCAAAATCTCAAAGAAATATATAAAATATGCATACGTGTTCATTCAGTGCTTTCTGCACAAATGGCCAGCACTCTTTCAAATAAGCCTGTCTGTATTTTGGGAACAAAGTTGTGAAACTGCTCTCCTCCAAGAGTCCTCTGGGATTGTTCTCTTTGGAAAAAGCTGGTTTCTTCCCACCATCAGAGACAGCAAAGAGTTCTGATTCATCTACGGGAAAAAATGTACACATCAGATGTTAACCTACTTTTGGACACTTATATGCATGTATTTACAAGCTTCCAATACTCTCCTTGCATTTCTTCTTCCTATGCTTCTGAGATTAGTCAACAGACAATAGGCCTCTACCATTATTATCAACACACTGTATTAAAATTACTTGTACACATTTCAGTTGTTTCATAAAACAAAGTTCAATAAGGGCATGGACCCTCCTTGGATCCACACTAATTAGAGCATGCCTCATTGTGAGTACTCAAGTAAAGTAACTTCCACTGCACTACACTATGTTGAGTTAAAGATGCAAATACCATTTTGTTTACAAGACTATTTTAAATATAAGTGGCATTTCAAATTTTACTGAAGCCTGAGAGTGAGTGTATATACATACTTATACTTACATGTGTGTGCATGTGCACACAAAGATGTTTATAGCAGTATTGTTTATAATAGCAAATGATGGAAACAATGCAAATGTCCACCAACGGTAGAGTGTAATATAAATTATCACATATTCATACAAGGAAACATCATATAGTAGTGAAAATAAATTACAGCTTCAAGTATTGCCCTGATTAAATAGCAAAAACAAAGTTAAATCTAAGAAGCAAGACACAGAACCATTCCTACAGTCCTCTCTTGTTTATATAAAGTTCAAAAACAAGCAAAATTAAACCGCCTTGTGCGTAGGTAGTAGAGATTATAAAGAAAAAGAACAGCATGACCAACACGATTTTGAACGGTTACTTCACGTCTCAGAATGAAAAAGTATGATCAGAGAGGTGCTTGTAAGAGACTTTGGGGGTTTGGTAATATTCCTTATTGTGCTCAATGGTCTGAGCGCTCCCTTCTCACGTATTTTTTTATTTCTTTAAGCTGTACATATATTTTGCTATGTACGTTCACAATAAAAAAACAACAAAACACCTTCAATAACTTTCTAATGCCTATAAGGACGAGAGTTTGTTTTAACATTTACAATAAGAATGGTTGCTGAGGCCTGCGGCTCTTTCTCTAGCCTCTCTTCCCGTGATTCACATTGAAGAAAATGGATAAAACAGCATAAAACAAAACAAGACAGCAATGTAAAGCAGGGCAGTCTGAATAGCAGGAATCATGTCGTCTAATATTTTAGCTATGTGACAAACAGGAATAATGTCAAATGTTCTAAAATTTTTTCACGAATGCAGAAACTAGCATTCAGGACGTGCCAGACTAACTCCTTCTTATCACTACGTCTGTCTCCTTCACTATCAGCGTTCCTTCAAATACATAGAGAGACCATAGAGTAGAAACTCCTACTGCATCTCTCATTAGCTCAGGATATCTAAGGACTTCCAGCCACTGCCGCGAGTCTTACGCCACCAGTGCCTACTGCAATACCTTAATCCTACAACATTTTCAAAAGACGAATTCCGCAACACGTTCACTTTGGGGGCCTTTACCAAAAGCGATTAGCTAGGAACACGTGACCAACACCACATCCGCCAGACGGTTTCACAGTCCGGGCCAATAACACTAAAAACTAGCTATTATAGCTACTGAACTTTAAACATCGTAAACTCAGACTTCGGTTCTCACACTAGGTTACCCCGTTTCTCTGGCTTCGGCTTCTGCTTACAAAATTCACTTTTCCCAGCCGCTGTAGCCGGCCGACTCATTTTGGAGAACGCCATCTTCAAACCAATTCCGGTGTTGCCGGAAATGGAACGGTTCTTAAATCCTTCCGTCTAAAGCTTCCGTGCTAAAAAAGACTTCTGCAGAGGCAGAAGAGACCTGCGCAGCGTCAGTACGTTCCTATCTAGACTCCGAGGATTTGCCCAAACTACAGCACTTTCATTACGTCGCCAAAGGAGAGTCAGAGACTTCTTTTCCAAGATGCACTGCAACCAGGAAGTTTGACTGCATGCTGGGAATTGTAATTTAGCATAGTGGGCAGGTAGGAGACAGGTTTTGTCCAGGCAGTCTGACCTAGTAGCTCTGCTGCAAGAAGGTGTGTGTTTTCAGCCTCATAGCTGTTGCACTTGAGCGGTACCAGCAACCCTTCTCTGGCCAGGGCCCACCCTGAAGATTTTGAACTTTCCAAGCCTCCATAATCAGGTAAATACACTATTTGTTGTTTCTCTGAAGAACACTGAATAATGTAGCAATTTATAGTAGAGCAAATTCATATGGCTGATAAACATGCTCAGCCGCATTACTGTCAGAAAAGCATGTAGCTATAAGAATATCACGTTTCACCTATCATATTGACAAAAAATAATAAAAGTATTTTTTATGATAATCTGCTGGAGGAAAGAGTTCTCTCATACGGGCTGGTGTGAATGTAAATTGTTACTCCCTTCTTGCAAAGCAATAAATCAGTATAAAGTATATACATATTTTTCCACAATATTTTCGTTCCTGGGAAACTGTCAACTAGAAATAAAACACTCTTGTATTAGGGCACATGTACGAATGTGTCGGTTACTGTCTTGTATAGAAGCAGTTCAGTGGCACCTTGGAGCCACACTAAGTAGTTTAGTATTTACTGACTGTATAGGCTTGGGCAATTTTCTTACCCACCCTGGTTCAGGTTGGGTAAGATATACATTAAGATATACAAGATATACATTAAGCTTTCAAGGCTGGCTATCTTAGGAGTGAATGTGATTAGAAAAGAAAGAGAAAACAATGAAAAAGACAACACTGTAGGTGTTCACGATAAAATATCAGGCTTATGACCCTGTTTATGTAAAACTGTGTGTGCCTGCTTAGGGAGATCTCTAAAATGATAGTCAACACAGTGTTGACTGATACCTCTCAGTAGAGAGACATTTCAAAGGATGGCAATTTAAATAACAGTACAGTCAAATCAATCACAATTTATATCATTTTATTTTAACATTTTTCAAAATCTGAATATGAATAATGTACCAGATCTGCAAGGTTATTCCCAGAAATTGCACAGTTAACACTAAAAGGGGAAATAAAAATGGCCCTCTCTAAAGAGTTTCTTGGCATAAATTTGACCCGAAAGTCCTCTCTGGGTCACAGCAACAACAGGCAGACCCATTTTGACGGTGACATTCCCTCTCCTTGGCCTCTCAAGCAGTCTAGGCCCACATGCAGCCATCCTCCCTCAAATGTGTTTCACCAGCCCTTACCCTGCTCATTCAGTTTCCCATGCAAAAGAAGTTGGCCTCACAAGTCTCCTTTGGACTTAGAGGCTTTAATTCCCACAAAATTAACCCAGAGGGTATGGGCAGAGAAGCCAGGATGTGGCTTAACACTGATGGGGGATGGGGGTGGGACACGCATTTAATGTTTATTAAAAAGAGCAGAAACACTAGGCAAATAAGCATGGATTATTTTTCATTTAATATTTCTATAATCATTTACTGGGATAAAAATTATTTTTTCCAGTAATCTATTTTTAATAAGTAATCAAAAGAAGCTTTTTCAAACATATAGGATTGAACATTTTTTAATTTCTTACCCAAGCTGCTTCCAGTCAACCTCAGAGAAAGTTTTAAAATCTTAAGTCAACATATATCTATCAACATCAATAACAGTAATTATTGCTATGGTTGTAAAAATAAGGCCCTTATAACTCCAAGTGATTGCAAAATAAAATACAGATCTAGTGATAGCAGTCAAGAAGGAACAACACAATAAAACATCCTCATTGTAAACTAATTATGTTATTAACACATTTTTAGGAAAATAATGTCAATAAAAGTGAAGTGTTCTGCATGAAAGCCTAGGAAATCTGGGAATCTGGGCTACCAAGTTTGAGAAACACATTCAGCCTATCTTGGGCTATTTCCTGCTGTGCAGCAGGATGTTCCATGTGTCATTACCATGGTGGGTCGCTGGGAAGACATAGCCATGTCTTCCTGCAAGGACACCCAGAGCAAACTCTCTGGATGGGGGATAGGGTGCACGGCTTTGGCTGCTGACCAGCTGTTTGACCTTGGGTAGGCAGTACTTAACCAGCCTCTCTGGTCTGGAATTGTAAGATGAGGGAGTTGAGTTTGATTACTATTCCTCAAACTTTAGCCAACTTCAGAATCACATGAGAGGTGGCTCTGCTCTCACTTTATAGTCAGTAGGTCTGGAGTAGGGCTCCAGGATTTGCAGTCCCAACAAAAAAGAACTATCCAACACGGAAATGTCGACACTTATTTCTGCGATTCTACTTCAAAGGGTCAGTAAGTGCTTCTCTTCTAAGCAGGCATGCCATAAAGGCGAAGTTATTTTCCATTCTTGTTAGCTACTTAGGGCAGAACTTGCCTGGGATCAATAGCCAAAGTTTCCAGATGGTGTTCGTTATTGTGCTGGGTTCCACCATAGACAACCCTGCTCAGTGCCCCTCAACTCTGCCTCTGTCATTCTGGAGTTCTGTTGTCCCATGACCCAAACAAACAATGCAACTGGTACGTGCAGTCAGTGCTTGCGGTCTGGAGACACTCATTACTGATTGAATATTAGTCTCTCCAGGCCCCAGGCCTATGAGACATTAATATAATATTTCATTGGGAGTCAAATCTAGCCTCTTCTGCTCTTTCCAAGGCAATCTTTCCTCTTTCTCTTCCTGATTGTTCTTATTGATAAGCAACAACTTCAGTTTAATTTTTAGTATGATATTCTTCTCCGTAAAGAGAAGCTGGAACACATGTATGGTGTTAGGTTCCCCATAGCAACAGAAGGCCTTTTAGTTCATGCATGAATGTTCCATATTTAACCAGTGGCATGTGAAATGTAGTGATACTGCTGAGAATTATTATTTTATGCAAATAGAAGAAGGAAACTACAGTCTTTTATTTGTTTACATGATATTGGGGGAATAGCTGAGCTTTTCTGGGAAGCAGACTTCTAGTAATTTTTAAATCTACATGCTTGGCCCATCCTTCAGGTAGTAGTAACTGCAGGTGGCCTGTGATGAAATGAACTTTTTAAATGAAGTAGTTTAAACACATAATGGGTTTATATTTAAACGAGTTATTTCATGACATCACCAGTTCAAAATGGAGACATTGCTTATTCTCTGTTTCCAATTCTCTGGTTAAAACGTCTGGCACCCGACACACAGAGATGTGGAAACTCAGGCCCAACACTGCACTTGTGCCTGGGTCACTCAGAAGTGATTTTCACCTCTTTTGGTTTATCAGTCGCTTTACTAATGTGTTGAACCCCACAGGCCCTTTCCCCAGAAAAGCACAGATATTTGGGTACACATAACATTTTACCCACAATTTGATGAGCTGTTCACACATCTGTCAGGCTCTTTCATAAAATCCTAGGGGGTCAGGCCAAGGAGTCTCTTAAAGCAGCACAGGGGAGTGTCCCATCTGCCTGGATCTGATCTTTTGAGCACTTGAATCCTCTGTTCTTACAGTTCCCCCCGAAAGCAGAGGGGTTGGAGGGGCTCCTTTACCTTGACAAATAAGCACCTGCTTTTCACAATGAGAATTTTGGTATGACTTAGTACTTGCATATAGGTATACCTCTCAAGGTGCCTTTGACTTCAAGTTATTGATACTCAAAGTAACAAAAAAGAATAATGAAATTTGTTGTTCTACATAGCTGGGAGTTGGATCTAGGACCTCAACAATGTCATAGAGACATTCAAACTCTTTGTCAATTTCTCTCTCTCCACCCACTCCTCCTGCCACCCCCATCCATGGTTTGGCTCTGCTTTTCTGTGTTGTCTTCTGAAGCCAAGATGTCTACCAGCAGCTCCAGAATTAAATCCTCAGTGGAAGGAGTTTCTTCCTGAGAGTTTCACCAAAAGTCCCAGGAAGACTCCCAGAGACCTGTCCTGGAGGTGGGTCACCCCCATCCACACCACGTGGGCCGGGAGTGGGGAGGAATGGTTCCTGAGGGAAAAGTGAGAGCTGCTGCCAGAAGAGGGGACCAGACACAGGCCGGAGGGGCCACAGCCCAGAGTGTGCAGTCCAGTAAGTGCAGCAAGTTAGCCAAGGGATTAGTGCATTTTCATGTTTCAAATAAAAAACATTCTTCATTCCCATGCCACCATTTTATTAAAATTAAGCCACAGACTTACAGAATTACTTAGACCCAGTCACAGGGTAATGGAGGAATTATTTGCTAACATTTTATTTGGGGAGATAGAAGTAGTATTCTTCATATTTGCTGTGAGGTTTTGAAACATCCAGTCTAAAATGTTGGCTTCTGTTTCCCCAGGCACGTGTGGAGATACTGAGAATGCGATTGGCTGTCACTGCAGTGGCCTGGTGTGTCTCCCTTTGGTGATGATTATTCCCTCAGGAAGTGTGTTTCCTTATAGGAAATGGCTATATTTTTTTCTCCTAATTTTGAGAAAAAAGAAAAAAGAAAAAAGCAAGGAACCTGCAACCATTATCCAAGACCCCTCCACCTAAAATTACTAAATGTTAACATTTTCTTATTTTTACTCTAGCTTTATGCAAATATGTATATAATATCATCATGTATATGCAAAATGAAGTCACTTTGTCTATAATCCTATTTTGCTATTTTCTTTTCTAGAGGAAATAACTGTATGATTTGATTTTTAAGTGAACCCTTTCAGACTTGCAGAAAGGCAGATAGACTAATACAACGAATGCTTTGTAGTCATAATTAAACTTGAGACATAAAATGTTGCCAGGTAAAGCCCCCGTGTGCGCCCCCAACTTCACTCCCCCCACCCGTCAGAGGCGATCGCTGTGCAGGCTGGGTGTTTATCACTCCCATGAACACTTTGTTTGTGTGGCAACCACACACACATGCACAATCTTTAAACAAGATAAGTAGGCTTTAAATGTTTTCTGTATGATATATTTACACATTATACATTAACAAGCTTGCATGTAATTACATATTTTATATTAGTTGTATATGTATAAAGTATATGAAAGAACCACATTATGTGATACATAGTCAAACAAACTTATATAAGTGTATAGCATATACTGTACTTGTACAGTTTGCTTTCTTTGTGGAATAGTTGTTTTGAAATATATTCACATTGAGTCTTCATAATTCTACTTTATTCATCCATGATACACAACTTTTGAAATGTTTGAAAAGATACTGCAGTTTCTCTCTCTGTCTCTCCCTCTTCCCCTCTCCCTCTTGCCCCTTCTCCCTCCTCTCTGTCCCTTCCCCCCTCCTCTCTCTTGCATCTAGGTAAGCATCTTTCTCTTTCAGATGTCACCCTGGAGGAAGCCAGCTGCCTGGTCTTGAGCAACCCTACGGAGAAGTCCACATGGGAAGGAACTGAAGCCTCTTCCCATCAGCCTGTGAGAGAGCATGGAAGTGTGTCCTCCACCCAGGCTTTCCGATGACCGCTTTTCTGGCGGAACTAACATCGAGTAGGACTCCTCAGTTCCAGCCTCCTGAGAGACCCTGAGCCAGAAGCATCCAGCTAAGCTGCCCATAAATTCCCATCCTCAGAAACTATAGAAATGTTTGTTGTTGCAAACTGATCATTTTTATACAGCAAGTGTAAAAAACAATATCAAAGCAAGCCTAAGCATTCATCAAAACATTTATCAGATTTTAATATGGGCACTGGAAATGAAACTTCTCAGAAATAATTTTTTCACTTAATTCTCACCACCAGAGGGCAAAATAGTCACAAATGATAGCTTGAGTAAAGAATTGAAAGACTTTCTATTTCCATGGGACTGCAGAAGTCAGAGATTCAGAAAGTCCTTGGAGATCATGTGCTCCAGCTCTGTTAGGTTACAGAGGAGGATTCTAATGCCCAGAGACTTTAACTGCCTGGTGTGAGGTCACACAGACTGAAGACTAAATGTACGTGCTCTGCTGCATTTAATAACATGCACATCCAGTAATCGAATCTCTTGTTTTTTTAAAAATTACTAGGTATGGAATAAAGAGAAAAGCCTTTTTAAATTTGTATTTTAATTAGCATATTAGTGTTCCCATTTTTTATCTTATACTCACTTTTTATCTTATTCATTGTGTCCCTTTTATGAGTTACTTACCATACATTATATGCCATGTGTCTCTTCATTTAATCTGCAAAACAAACTTTTGAGACATACCCATCAATGCCTGAGGGCCAGTATCTTGCCCAAGGACATATAGCTAGACAGAGTCAAAATAGATATGAATCTGATATAGGTTAAATGTCATTACAATGATATTGGGGAGGACAATTCCATCTTTGATTTTACCAGAAGTTTGGTGCCCCTAGAAATCTTTCAGTATATTAAGACACTTAAGTGATTGCCATATAACATTGGAAGAGCAACAGAAAAATAATTTTGGTAACTCATTTCACTGAGAGACTTTCCCTCTCTTTCCCTCTCTCTGTCTCTGACTGTCTGTCTGTCACACACACACACACACACACAAACTTTGCCTCTCCCCTTCATTTGAGCTGACCAGCTGTGTGATCTTGGTTAACCTGCCTAGACCTTCATTTTGTTTCACCTTTTTTCATTTCTAAAATGAGAATACACCACACCTACCTCCTTTGAACTCTCAACAGGGATGCTGTGATGGTCAATGAGGAAGTCTTTATGAATCTACTGGATATTGCAGAAGACAGGTGTTTTATAAAGTTGAAGAATCATTATGACAGTAATTAGTAATAATCTAGGAGAGATGGGCAGGTGTCTGGCAGTAGTGACTTGGCTGGAACTGGTGCCACAGTAAAGAAATGAAGTAAAGCCAACATGTCAGCAGCATGGAGTTAGGAGCTAGGAGGGTGCCATCTATGCTGCCTCATGCACTGCTTTGTTCATCATCCCTGCCTGCCACAGACTGGTATGTAGTCATAGCAATTCCAAGGTGGTCAGGAAGGCAACATTGAAAGAACCACATTATGTGATATGTAGTCTCCAAAGATGGTCACCACCATGCTTTTCCTCATTGTACATGCATGCCACTCCTCATGCTAAGAGACAACCTGTTTCTCCTCCACCTTGTGTCTGGTCTGGCCTGTGACTTCCTCTATCTTGGAAGAGAAATGCATAAGTTCAGCTATCCTAACACTACCTCACTGTGAGGGAGTTTGAATTGGCCATGTGGAGAGAGACAGAGACATACCTAGCCAGCTTTCAGACGTTCCAGTCATCACTGCTGACATTCTGGACATGAGTCAGTGGAGAAGCAATCATGTATTTCAGCTCCAGTAGATACCACATGGAGAGAAAGATCTGTCCAACCAGATTGCAGAAACAGAAGAATTGATACATATTTGGTGGTGTTAACCCATTATGTTCTCAAGATGTTTGTTGCACAGCAATAGACATTCAAAACACCCATCAACATTTAAAATATGGTCATTTAAAAGATCTCTTGATGTCCTTTCTTTGCTGAATGAAATAGAAGATTCCTTCAGAAAAATAAAATAAGAAGCCCTGGCTGGCGTAGCTCAGTGGATTGAGCGCGGGCTGGGAACCAAAGTGTCCCAGGTTCGATACCCAGCTAGGGTACATTCCTGGGTTGCAGGCCATAACCCCCAGCAACCGCATATTGATGTTTCTCTCTCTCTCTCTCTCTCCCTCCCTCCCTCCCTAAAAATAAATAAATAAAATCTTTAAAAAAATAAAAAAAAAGAAATATGACTATTGTAATGTTTTTAAAAAATAAATAAATAAATAAAATAAGAAAATAGTGTGGTAAACAGAGAGGGTAACTCCTTTTTTAGAGGATGCAATTTTTTAGCTTCATAAAAGTCCTGCTGAAATAGAGCATTTATTCCTTCACTCACTCACTTATTCATGCTTAATAAACATGTATTGAGTTCATTTATTGTCTATTGTACATTGGGCACAGTTCTAGGCATAGAGTATATCACACAAAGCAAGACAGATAAGGTTCCTACGTGATGCAGACACTGGTCCACGGTGTCCACATCATTATGGAATGAAATGAGACATTCACTTGATTACCGAATCTGGTGGAGGAAAAGGGACAGCATGTCTTTTCTCTAAAGAGGAGCAAAAGCCTCAGCCCTTGCTCAAATGAGCTTTTATTGTCATACTGGGCACATTACAAGAAGGTCCTCATTAACTATGCCCAGGCTTGCTTTAGGTGGTTAACTTTTACAAAAAACAAAGGAGCCAATGCTGCTAATCACATCACAGAAGAGGGATATTTGCAAATGAAAAAGCAAAAGTAGTTGAACTGGTTACACTTATCCTTGGAAGGTTTAGCATGGTTGTTAGGAAGTTGCTTTGCAGTAAGTGTCCTCAATTCAGGGTGAGGGAGTTTTAGCAAAAAAACAAGACTCATAGCGGCCTAGGTACATTGCAGGCCTGATTCCCCACAGGAGAACCTATCCGTGGGTGTGAGTCCTGTGCATCTTCGAGTGGGAGCTGGGCCCATGCCATGCAGAACAGTCTACTACACCTAATCTCATGGTGCTTGCATCCTGATTGGAGAAGACAAATAGCAACTACAACAAAAGGATTATATCAGCTAACAAAGCAATCGAGAGGGAGGAATGTGATAGCATTAAGCATTAGCGTAATCTTTCTAAGGGTCCCTTCCTGATGCATCAGCAGTAAACTAATGGGAGAAAAAAAACCCTGAAAATGTTTCCCCTGAGCTTGTCATACAGTTTAATTATATGCAACTAATTATCAGTGTCTTGGTGTGCATATACACCCTCACAATTCACAATGCAGGCAGGAACCTCCCCACTGGGGCTTTGTGTCTGTAGCTTTGCTAACACTGCAAGGGTTCTGATAAGGAAGGATTTTTCCTTCTATCTTGTGGACTTTGGGAGATGGGTCAAGGGTGTGTTAGCAGTGGCAGAATAGGTGCTGTGCTGGCACGAGCCCTGTTCCCTAACGCTGTAGTAGGATGCAGGCAGGGGGGCTCTGAAAGAAGGATTTGTAATGGGGTCCAGAACTCAAGGTGTCCGGGAAATACTAGAAAGATATATAGGATGTCCTCACCCTCCACCACAGGTGTGAGTTGGGGGAAGGGACACATGGAGTAGGGGCATTGAGAGCTGTTTTACATAGCAACAGCTTTGCAGCCAACCTCTGGGTTGGTCATTTGGCACATCTACAACATTTAACTGGTTTCACAGATATGTTAAATAGCTGTGACCATGCTCTGATCCAGGGGGATGGAAGGAACTTCCCCCCAAGATGTAACTGGGAGGTAACTCGCCCTAGTTACAGCGCCTGTGTGAGAACTTGGAGATGACTGGCTCCACGATATGGGACCACCCCTGCGCAGACTCATGATGGGAGCCCAGTAAAGCTGGAAGGATATTTAAATCCAGACTCAGCAGCCATTGAGGAGGGAGCCACGCGGCTGCAGCCATGTAAGGAATGGAACATGCGGCTGTGGCAGTGAGGAGAACCACGTGGCTTTGGCTAGAGTAGGGGGACACCCCCCCACCACCGCAGTCATGAGAAGAATCACCATGCAGCTTTAGCAGAGAACCACCACGCGGCTTTAGGTGGAGATCCCGGCAACACAGCTGATGGTGCTGGGAACCGAGGAAGGCCTACCAGCCGAGCGCGAATTAATGGGAAGAACCGCCAGCTGCCTGAGCCATGGACTTCTATTTCTTTCCCTGAGATATGGTACCCCAGCTAAGCAAAGGGGGGAAGGAAGGACTGCGTGTGTTTGTGGGTGTTTTAAGGGACTTCGGGATTTTGATGAAGACATTAAGTCATTACTCTTAAGTCTGTATAACTTGAATAAATAACTCCTTTCCTTTTCACCAATCTCTAACATGGAGAGCTATAATTCTCTGGTGAACAGAAAGGTGAACCTAGTACAGAGGGACCCCAGGAGAAACAGGGGTCAATTCGGTAGCTTGTGGGATCCTCTTCCCTGGTGGTCAATCAGGGAAAATCATGAGAGACCACATGTGCAGTAGCTTTAAAGTAATACAATTACTTGTACATGCGCAGTAAAAGCCCACCAAAACTAGCCAGGAAGGATCCGCCCTATAAGAATAGAGTCCCTCCAGCCCACGAGGTTATTCTCTGCTTGGAGTTGACCAGCTCCCATGTTCTCTTCTATGAACTCTAGGTGTTCGGTTCAATTCTTTGTCCCGATCACTAAGAACCTGGTTACCTCTGCCCCCCTGTGATGCCATCAGAGACATGGCCATTTCTGTGCTTAAAGAAAATGTTTGAATTAGGAAAGAAATAAGGAACTAGATATTTTATAGTCCTAAATTTCTGGAGGCTTCAGGTACTGATTTTATCATGAATAAATGGCACTTTTTTTCATAAAAAAATTCCAAGTGGAAAAACGACTCTTCTTTCATACACAGTGTGTCACTCTGTAGTATCATGAGTCTGCTGTCAAGATACTTCTCTACCCTTTTAAACTTATTTCATTTACTTCTTTATTTTCTCGCACAATGTCCTTCTGATAGTACATGCTTAATAAATATTTGCTGAATGAGCAGAATTGGTTAAAGAGACCAGCGTCTGCATTTGAATTTCAGCTCTGTAGTTTATTAGCAGTGTGACGTCAGTCAAGTTTCACGTGCCAGGTCATGGTGACTGAAACAAAAGATAAGTTGACCCATCCCACCACTAACCAGTTCAGGTATCAGGGAGGGGTGTTAGTATTAAGAGGTGCACCTCATGCTGGAACAGGAAAAGGGAAGCAAGGGGCTTGTGACCCTCCTGCTCTCCTCGCTCCGGCTGAACCCACTGGACTCAGGATGCCCCTGGTGGTCAGCACTAGCACTGCACCCGGGGCAGGGAATTCAGGGAGCCCGACACATTTGTCTTTGAAAGTCTCCAGGCCCCAGCTCTCCCGTCTCCAGTGGGACTAAGCAGCGGGACCTGTAGAATCAAGAGGGCTGTAAGAGGTATCTCAAAAGCTTGCCCTGTCTTTCTCCTGTGTGCATTACTTTGGTATGTCTAGTTCACTCCCGGGATCCTCTCTACAGGAATGAT